CCCTGAACTGGCGCTGCCGCTCCTGCTCTTTGGCCTTTTTGGCTGCCTTCTTCCCCTTCTTCTTGTTCCCGACCACCTGCCAACCGGCTTCAGCCGCGGGAGGTGTAGGGAGATGGGGGGCAGTGACGGCGGCGGCAGCTGGCTTGCCGCTGGCGCTGGCACATTCGCCGCAGGTACTGGGGCTGGTGCAGCCACCACCTGTGCTGCCGCCTTGCCCTTTCTCGCCTTCGTCTTGCCTCTCTTTCCCGTCGCCGGCTTAGCCGGAGCCGGTTCAGCCGGTACCGGATTTGCCGGAGCCGGCTTTTCAGGGGGAGGGGCAACTGCAGCCCCGCCCGAGGGCTGGCTGGACGGCCCCGGCCTGGATGCGGCAGCCGTGGCCGCCGCGTACGAGACCGTTGCCGGCCTCGCTGCCGTCTTGTTTGCCCCTAGGGGGGGGGGCGCAGGATGATTCCCTCCAGCACGGAGAACCGGTGCTGGAAGGCAGCCAGCTCCTGCCGGACCAGGTTCAGAACCTGGTTCTCCACCGGCACGGGCTGGCTTGGGCGATGCATCTGGGGCGCCGCGCGAGAGGCAGGCTCACGTAGACTGTAGACTTCGCCACCTCGTCCGCATTAGACCCGGCGCCAGCAAAGTTGGCCTCCGCAGCCGCCATGATGGAGGCGGAGGCCCCGGGAATGGCCTTAAACTTCGAGGAGGGCTTTTGCTTGTAGGCCACGACCTTGATCGCGGCCTCCACCTCCTTTACGAATCTGGCCTTACGCTCCACCTCGGAGCCGCCAGTCGCACTCGTCTCTTCGCCTGATACCCAAGCCGTATCGCCCGGGTGGCGCCCCTCCTCGGCAAGCTTTGCCGCTCGTTCGGCCCTCTGATTGGCATTCCCCCTTGCCTCTCAGCCCGCCCCGCCCGTTGGTGGGGATTTTCCGGGCCGAGACCTCCTCTTCACCGGATGACGGCCCCTGGTCGCCATCCCGCCTGGACCGCTTGCGGAAGAACTTACTGTTCTCCGCGGTCCCAGGTCCCACACGTCGGGAGCTCTCTGGGCCTCCCACGCTGCTCGATGCGGCGTCGGACTCTGTCCCCGCATCGTTCCTCCTCTCCTCTACGTTGCCGTTGCCGGCGGTTTTGTTTGTTTGTTTTTTGTTTCCATTTTTGTACCCACGATTATGGGGGAATTAAAGGTCCTGGAAGGAAATTAAATAGCCTGAAAATGACTTTTATTGACTGAACTTAGCGATCGCAGCGCCTCACTTATGGTGTCCATATTTCTGGGACACTATTTTCTACGGCGATCGTTCTCCTGTTCTCTAACCGGGAGTTTTGCCGTCGACGGACTGTCGCTCTTATTTTCTCGCTTGAATAATGGTTTGAAGTGGATTTTAATTCGTCAAAGTGATGTGATTTTGTGAATTAAGTGTCTGCGCGTGTGAACTATTAAAGAAAACGACGAAACAAGTGCTTTGATGTTGATATAAACCTCAAGTTAATTTGATCGCTTGGGCGCCTTATAAACTTGAGTGGTTGTCGTCATCAACTGTCCGCTAGGTTGAGCTGTCGTCAAAATCTTCCAATGGCTGCGCAATGTGACGCATCAGCATATTATGAAGAAAAAGAATATAAAATGAAGATTCCGAAAGAAATGATAGGTTCAGAAGGGCTAGAACCCAGAGCATAAAGCCATTTAATAAAAAAATGACAGTGACAATGACATTTAAGCTTCATCTCATGTCGTAAGTAAGTCGTAATGAAGTATGACTGTATGACTAACGTTTTAGTTTTCACGTAAAATTTTTTTTATACTTCTTAATTTACATGTGTAATGTCTTTATTTGACACCGCTGTTTTTAATTCAACTCTCTATGAGGCTTTGTATCTTCAGATAGAAGGTACTTTGGCCTTCGCTAAAGATTTTTTTGGATCCTGTGTATCCTCACTGCCGGTTGAAAATTTCCCAAAAACCCTCGTAAATTTAAGTGTATTATCTTTCTACGACGATATAGCCGAGGTCTTTTATTTTAACGAATTCCAATTTCTCTTGCTAAAAACATTTCTTGTGATATTATTGTCTACTCTGTTATTGATTTTTATTTCCTGGCGTGTTTACGGAACACGCATATCTGAAAGGTTTATGAACCCAGGTAAGTCATATATTCAATTTATAATTATCAACGAGTCTAAAATCACTATGTACATTTAATATATTATGTTTAGCAAATTGTGTTCAACTATTCAGTGTATGAGTAAATTGTTATAGCAATTTGCTGAATAGTAGTGTTATGGCGGCTCCACATTATCGCCGTGAATTCACGCGCGAATCCACGCCATGAATTCACGGCACAAGTCGTGCCCTCCACATTCCCGGGATGCTCAAAATCGTTCAAACGTTAGTTTCTCTATCTGGTCTGTGAATCGTTTGTGAAACTCGCCGCGAAACGAATGTAGAAACTGCTGCTGCAATAACTTTATTTACTGTGGCAACATATCACTATTTACACATCCAAAACAAGAAATTCATTAGAAAGTGTTTGAAGAAAAGAAGATGGTGTATGACTATAATACATCGCCCGTGTCCCTTTGTAATCTGAAACGAACTGGCACGGGGCCCTGAATGTGGATGTTTACGTGTGCACGCCGCGCGAAGGGTGCATGAACCCTTTGTCACAGGACAAAATACCGACTGATAGCAAGCGTAAACGTGCGTTAATCCCACGAAAACCATCCACATTAACATTCACGCCTGTTTATGGAGCTTCACGACGATAATTTGGAGCCTCAGTTATGTTCTCTAATCAATGTTTTTTTATTCCTTATATCCTTATATCCTTAACAACGTCAAAAAACTAACTACAAAATATGTTATTTTATAAGATATAAGTTTTACTGAAAGGATAATTATTTCTTTTTAATCATACATTAATATTATTTTGCTATGCACAATTTCTGTGTGTGTGAAATATAATTTTGGTCTAAATCCCAACTATGGATTTGTAGAAGGCACAATATATCGCCTTTTTGCATTAAAAGTATACAATCTCCAAAAGTATTTAAAATTGAGTTAATATGCGAAAATGTTTGGTAACACCGGTATTTTTCTCTTAAATATTGACAAGGGAGCATAGTTCAACAAACACTCGCTAGATAGCGCATCGGTTAGTCTTAAATTAACCAAAGTTAGAACTTATTTTGCACGAAAACAACATAAGTTTTAGTTATGTTCAACCATTTGAGTAGTGCACGTGTTGTGTCTCTTCAAAAGTGTACAAAAACAAAAATTTGACCCCAGGGTAAGCATTTTATTTCATTTATATTATACAATCTCAAAATTATACACTTATTACTATAAATGTGTAGCAAAGTTTGAATCAATTCTACCTTTAAAATTGTATAACTTTGTAATTGTACAGTTTTTGTGATAAAATATGAAAAATACTATCTCGATCTTTTTCATTGAAACTATGTTTATTCTAAGTTGTATACTATTTCAGATATTTTTTTGTGATAAGTTATGTTTTAATTTAAAATTGTCTACTTTTTATCATAAATCGGACGTCAGAAATAATTTAATCCTGAAAATGTTTGATTTTTAATTATTAAATGTAAAATTATTTTGATTTTCGTTAATATTGGCAGTAAATATCACTGTGATTCTGAAACACACAGTGACTTGTTTCAGCTTGTTTGGTTATATTTAAATAGCTGGCACAGCAACGGACGGTCGGGGGCGAGCAACGGCTTGCCGCCGCGGCGAGCCGTAGCTGCTGTCTCGATTTGCAACGCATTTCCTTGTATACAAAAGGAGTTAGTCGCGACAGCTAGCCGTCGTGTCGAACCATCCGTTATAGTGCCGGCCCTAATTGTATGTTTTAAAATATTTTCTTTGTTTATTCAGATTAAATTAAACGCTTTTGAAATGGCACATGAAGTAAATTTTTAGAGAGTTTGAAAAAAAATATAATTAATCAGAAAGAAGTAAATTATCAGCCTATTGCTGATTCTGAAGTGAAATCGATGGAAATACGACATGAAAATAACTCTTACTCAAAATTTAGGTATGTTTTAAATAACTAAGTGGATGTTAATGAGATTTTATTTATTTAGGTACATATTACACTTAATATTTTTCAGGTTTACAAGACGATTTACAGAAAAAGACCGAAAATCCTCTGGATAGTTCACAGAATATGAATGAAAATTCAGATTTACAACAAGATGTATTGTACAAGAAATGAACACTTCAGATATGTAGCAACTTCAGAAAATTAGTAGGATTTCTATCAATTTTTTTGTTTTTGTAGGAGAACCAAGTGTATCTAAGTCAGACATTTTATTTTAGATTCATCAGATAGCAGTGACTCTGATTCCACAAGTTCTTCATCCAGCTCGTCTTCTTCTGGAAAAGGTTCTGATGACAGCGTAGCAGATCCAAATTTCAATATAAGTAAAGATTTTAATTTATCATAAAGTGATTCTGATTCTGAGCCATCCCAAGCTGAAAATCCATCGGTTCAATTAATCCAAACAGTTGAATTACAGACAGAGCAAGTTTATCCGAAAAAGAACCCACGTAAACATCTAGCTAACCCAACAAAATGGAAAACAAATTAATTAAAATGATTGAGGCATGCAGGTAAAAGCTACTCTACTAAAAATAAAATTGTGAGTGTAAAGCTATTAAGCCTCCTTGCGGAGAGAAATGCAGGCAGAAATGTTCTATTTTCATTTTGGAGGAACATAGCCAAAAAAAATTTGATGCATATTACGCTTTACCAGATGCACTACATAAACGTCATTTTATTGCCAATAGTATTGAAGAGATGAAGCCTAAATATGTACATAAATCTAGCAATAGACCATGCAAAAATAATTTAAAATTTTACTTGTATGATAGCAAAAATCAAAAAATTCGTGTCTGTCAAAAGTTTTTCTTAAATATGCTTGATATTTCCCTTTCAATAGTTCGAACAGTGCGAGATAGGATGTTTAAAAACGACAATCCGGTTCCAATGCTCGATGACCGAAGAGGCAAACACGAACATCATCACCGGGTTGAGGAATCACTAAAAGACAGCGCTAGAGAATTTATTAGGAACATACCAAAAATAGAAAGTCACTATGTTTATGCTAATACAAGTCGAGAGTATATTGATGGAGGCAGAAATTTGTCTGATATTTACAAGGATTATGTTCAATTGTATACAGAAAAGAGAGAGAGGTATATTAACTACGTAATGTTCCATAGAATTTTTAACACAGAGTTTAATATTAGTTTTTTTACTCCGAAGAAAGATGCTTGTGAAGATTGTACTGCCTATGTTAATGCATTAGACTCTGAGAAGGAAGAAATGAAAGATTGTTATGAAAACCACCTGATAGAAAAAGAATTGTCACGAATAGAAAAAGGGAACGATAAAACAGATGCCCAAAGTAAATCATCAATGACTTACAAGCGACATTGTCATGTCCCAAAAGCGAAATTTCAACATTTTATTACGAATCAAAATTGAATTCTTAGAACTTTACCATCTACGACTTGAAAACAAAAGATGTAGAATGTTACGTTTGGCACGAACAGCAAGATAATAGAGGCGCAAATGAAATAGCAACATGTCTTTATAATTATATTGTATCTTTGTGTGCCAGAATAAATGAAGATGTTGATATAATTTTTTACAGCGATAATTGTACAGGCCAACAAAAGAACAAATTCCTAATAAGTATGTATATGCATGTGGTAGCAACGATATCCAGTCTTAAAACAATAACGCATAAGTTCCTTATTGAATGACACACTTAATGAAAATGATTCGGCCCACTCGTTTATTGAGAGAAATATTAAAAAATCACTTAGATTTGGGCCAATATACAGCCCAGATCAGTATGTTTCATTGATCAGAACAGCCAAAAAGACTGGGAATTCTTACAAAGTTAACGAATTAAACTATACTCAATTTAAAGTTTTAAATCTCTTTGTGACGTAGGCTGAAATTATATTTAAAAATACTAATAATAAAACTGTAAAAATTAATTTTAAAATTCACTAAGGAAAATCGCGGTTGCTTCTTTTATAAAACTTCTTACAGTCAAGATTTTAATATGGTAAAGTTTGGACTCACCGCTGCAAAAGGTCTTCGAGATAATACCCTTTTAAAGCAGTATATAACGCGCCAATTAAGTAAATTGCTGATCAGAAAAAAAGAAGTTTATTAGATTTAGTTGATAAGAAAACTATTCCCGAATATTATCGTCCATTTTATGAAAATCTGTAATCTTTATGAAATAGACCACAATTTAAAATAAAAAAGAATTTAATTGTATTTTTTTAAATTGCATTTTTAAAATTATTGCTTAAAGCTTTTAATATTTTATATTACCTATTAGTACATACAAATTATACTCAAAAGACTGGATTAAGTTCCTAACAATTAAAAAAATAGTACTTTTATATCTACATCGTAAACTTAAATATTATGAAATACCTTACTTGACAAGTTACTAACTTAGTGCCATGTTACTAAGTGATTAACGTGATTTAACCAATCACATAATTTCATTTTATAATTACCATATTTTGAGCCATTTTGTTTGTTGTATAAGTTTTAGTCCATATTTAGTTTAACAGTTTCATAATTGTACTGTGAAAGAAATAAATATTTCACAAAATATTATTGTTTTACTGCGAAAATAGATTTTAATTCCTTAAATTAAATCATATTTAATAAATTAATTATTTATGTTCAAATTAAATTAAGCAACATTTTATCGAGAAAAGTATTAAAACTCAAAACGATTATTTTTCTGACCTACATTTTGGCTACTATATAACAACATTAATATATAATTTTATCTTACTTTGAAAGACAGATAATGTAACTAACAAAATATAAAAAATACATATTGAAAATATCATTATTATTAAAAATATTACATGTTAAACTTTTAAAACGCTCTCCTGTAAAATTGGTAAGTTTTGAGATTATATAGTTTAAATGCGAGAAGACAATATGTAAATTTATTAAATTAATATAATATTAGTTTTAGGTAATAGAGCCATGCTGCAGCTATGCTAGAAGTATAGGCATGAATGGGTGCATTCGACCGAGGAAGCACCGCACTCTCACAGAATACCAGCGTAAATTAGCAGCTTGATGCTGCTATGTTTCATACAGTGAGTGTATAGAACAGGATATCCTTTTTACTGGAAACGAGCAATCCCATCAGAGTCCTCATGGGTGACAACACACCTGCATTTTCATTTGTTATCGTGGATAGATGTAGATGTCTATGGGCCACAGCATCCACTTTCCATCAGGTGGACTGTGTGCTCGTTTGTCATTCCTATTGTTAAATCCTCTTATCCTATTGTTAAATTAAGTAATTCAACATTTATAACGAAATATAATTTGATTAAGATGTTATGGTATAAGATGTATAGATAGGTATTATTCATGTGGATTGAATTGTACCATGTTACATCCGAGATGACCCAAGGCACTATATACTCATCCTGTATCTAAACAAACAGCAGAATATTCATAATTTAACATTATATATGTTCTGCTGTTTGTTTAGATTGTTTGTTTTTATGTTTATTTATTTTTAAAAATAATATATTTTTATTATCAATAATTATATTGCCAATACAGTCAACAACCCTATCATTGCAGCAACATCAGCTACTATAGAACAACTTAAAGAAAGTGTATCCAAATTAAAGTTGCCTAAAGAGCACACACCTAGAATATAAAATGGCTGAAAAAATTAAAAAGTTTTTCCAAAAGAAGAAGGCTGACGCTAAGTTCAAATTAGCAGGCCCAGGGCATAAATTGACTGAGTCTACAATAAGTAATCAGAGCTCTACCTCATCAAGAAAAGAAGTTCCAGTTGTAAAAAGGTCAGGGTTGTCAGAAGAAAGCAAAGTAGCAGCTGAAGCAGCACTCGCTAGATTACAACAGAAAAGAGATAACCCTGCATTTAATACTTCCCTTGCTGCTATTAAAGTAAGTTGTAGTTGCGAACCTATAGTTTTATATATATGTAACTTAATTTTTATTGCAAAAAAATTGAAATCATTGTATTGTTTGTTATATAAGTAAAGAAAGTAACGTATATTAATTTTATAGGCACAAGTTAAAAAGGAATTAGAAAATGAAAAAGCTGGTGAAACGGAAAAGGTGCCTTCAAACATAGAGAGAGTAAAGCCTGTAGAAACTGAAGTTGATGTTCCTAAGAATTATGCTGCGTCAGGTGTTTACTTTAAGTATGTAGTTTTTTTTTTAATTTTATTATTATTATGGTAAAGTATTGTTTTAAAACTATTTTATTTTTATAACGTATGAGCTATAATTTGAATTAATGATTTAGTTGGCACAGATTATATATTCTAGTATTTTATTAGTGTTTTAGTAATTATATATTTTTGTGTCTTAGAAAGGTAAACTGAGTCAATATGACTTTGTATACCTAATGCTTTTGGTCACTGTTAAACATGACATAGTAAACCAGTACTTGAAGCTAAATACAGTTTAAGAAGTGTCACGAAATGTCAACACGTTTTTACATGGTATAGCCATGCTGCAGCTTTTTTTCTGGTATAGTTGTAGCACAAATGGATCGGCTCGACCAGGTAAGGACCACGCTCTTACAGAATACCAGCGTCAAATAGCAGCTTAACACTGCTGTGTTTCGTTCGGTGAGTGTAGAGAACTGGAGACCCTTTTTACTGGAAATGAGGCATTCCATCTTAGTCCTCACGGGTGACAATGCATCTGTATTTTTATTCATTATCAAGAATAGATGTAGATGTCTATGAGCCACAGCAACCACTTACCATCTGGTGGACTGTGTGCTCGTTTGCCACCCTTATAATATTTAAAAAACAAATCGACTCTTTCAAGTGCAGACTCCATAAAACTAGTAAACTAGGCTAATTTTTGGAAAGTTTTATGATAACTATTTATAATAAAATTCTCAATATGTTGACTATAGATAGTTGTATGTAGTTATGTATATACGGCTATCTATACTATAGGCGGTTATATTTATATGTTAAGGGATTAGGGTTCAATTAAAGACGTATTATAGATTTCCGTAAACACAAACATACAATGTGGCTCCAGCATTAAAATCTAAACAGACAACAAGAAACAGAGGGCTAATCCCAACTCAACCAAACTTATTGTAGCAACAACCGAAAATCACTTATAAACTATAATAAAACAACAACTTGCTCAGACGCCGGGCCGGTAGCCATTATGTCATATAAAGTTGCTACTTGCCAGTTCGAGAATAACCAGAATCGGTGTAGTCGCCATCTAGCGCACCTTTTAGAAACTAATGTTCGAAAGTTTATGCGGACAATGTATAAGATGGCACTAGTGTCTTTGCAAATTATTGGACCACAACCTAAAGTATGGAAGTGTACCCCCCTTGGAATAAGTAAACCTTATATCATCTATGGTTTTCATAGTTGATTTGTTGTGTAAACGTCACACATGATATGACAGTGACAGATAATACAAATGTTATTGTGGTGAATTAAAATTGTCTGTTTTTTTTTAATACTCTCTCTGGTTCGGCGCCATCACTATGAAACAACCTCAATTGTTTTCTTTTATCTATTATAAATAAATCCCCGTTTGTCTATGTAATTCTTGTTTATTTTATGCTCAAAACCCTTCATGCCTTTGTATAAATTCAAAATGCATGTGAGAGGCATTATTATGAAGAAAGGATATTATAAATTAGACAACTTTTTAAATGATAAGAATGCGTGAACGTAATGAGCTTCAATAGATTTTTTACTTATGTATATATTGTTACGAGCTTGGGGTTTGTGACAATAAAAACTGCAGATTGAATTACCAAAATTGACACTTTAATTACTAAACGCCAATTACAACTTAGAACACACTAATAATAAAACACAATTGCACTACTAATCACTTTACTTCGCAGTTATATCGCTTTGAAGTTTTCGCTTGAATCCCCAATTCAATACTCACTCGATTGCGGTCCTTACCGGTCTTATATAGAGGTCTCTTCCACTGAAACATCTAGAATGTTCGAGTACATACCAGTCCCGACTGAATAGGTGTAGAAAGTTCTAGTATGGAATTTTATAGAAAGTTCTCCTAGTTTTGCTACTCGTTACTAGATGGCGCTAGTGGCCATGTACCAGACATTATGACGCGCAACAATATTTTATAATGTGTTACCAATGGGTTTGAAACCATTGACACCTATATAATATATTATTGTACACACATGATTATAGGGTTAATAAATAATAAAACAGTAGAACAACATATTATGTAAAAATAATAAGATTTGTGGGTAATCGTAACAGCGTTATAATCTATAAAAGGAACTGCTGTATTTTAGTGGGAGTTCAGTTGCGAGTCTCCTGCCTACAAGTTAGTTACTCTGCTCAAATCTGTGGTCATTTACATTAAGTAAGGAATAATATATAATTACTGTCATTCGTTGGTCATGTAAATAAAAAGTGCTACTGTGTAATCGGTTTTACTTCATATCTACTAATTAAAAAATGTTAAATTGTAACTGATGGGAGAAAAATCGTACTTGTGAGTTTCTTGCTGCTTTTTCTCACAAGGTCTCCTTGCTGTAGGGAGTTGTTAAAGTGGTGGTGCAGCATTTGACTTTCAAAAAGTGCTTTGTAAAGCCAATATTAAATGAATTTTGCTGTTTCCATGCACAGTTTGTAAAAGTCACGATACAGGAGAAATTGTGAAATTAACATTTTGTAAAAAAAATTACAATAAATTTTTGGTCACTTAATTAAGAAGGGGTTTTTTTTTTATTGTTTTTCTATTAATAATAACTTGATTGGTGATAAGGCTACACCTGCTATGAAAGTCTAGAGGTTGTAATTTTTAAGTAGCCTCCCTTACACAACACGAAACAATTCCTGACAAGTTCAGTTAAACTTTAACTGAACTTACTACTTAGCCGTCTTCTTTTTCATAGTTAAAGATGTAGAAAACCTAGAGGTCTTAACTGCATTGCCTTTTTGGCTTAATCTGGCTCTGGCTTTTGATGATGACTTTGATGTAATCCTCTAGAGGTCCTAATTTGTTTTTTATTATTTTAGATGTCCACTTATAAGTAATGATATTTTACCAAGAGATGAATGGAAGAAAAACATAAAGACGTTTTTGTATGAGCAGTTAGAAGAAGAAAGGGGATTGACAGCCTGCCTTATTATACATTCCTGTAATAACAACAAAGAAAAGGTACTTAATTTTTATATATACTAGCTATTCTTGCTAAATGTAGTACTTTTTTGACTGCCTCGTTGATTTAGTGGTTGTAGTAGTGCGACTGCTGATCATAAGGTCCTGGGTTCGTATCCCTGGTCGGGTCAAAAAATTAACTATTGAGTTTTTCCGTTAAGAAATTCTAAGTAGTTGCCCGGAGTCAGGAAGTTGGCGGTATCTCACCCCCGTGCCTCGGAAAGCATGTAAAGGCCGTTGGTCCTGCGCCGGATCTCTTTCCGGTCGTGTCGGTTTACCGTCCCATCGGATTATGAGAGTGAAGGAATAGTGAGTGCAGCTGTGCTTGCGCATACACTTGGACACTATAATCCTCTCCTGCGCCGATGGCTAATCTCCGTTGAGGCCAAAATTCGGTCTGGAGGACATTATTATTATTAGTAGTAGTTTTTTACCCATTATCTCACAATTAAGTCAAATGTGTTAATTTATTTATGTTAGTATATTAAATATGTATTTATGTATATTTATCATTTTCTTTTATATATTTATTCAGCCCAAACAGATGCGAATACTTTATGAATACCCCGATGATAATAATTTATTTATTTCTCACCACAAACAACATGGAAGTATTTCACCCTTTGCTAGAAAGTGTTAAACATGATTTCTATGATCATGTCAGATTGCCATCTCATTGGAATATGAGAGTTAGGAATTAGAGTGCACATATGGTCTCGGACACACTCGTGCGTTATAATCTCGTCCTGCAGACACACTTGTGCACTGTAAATCTTATCCTAAGCCAAGTGCTAGGCACCATTGAGACTGACCACGGTGACCGAATTTGTGTTTTGTTGGACTTCATTTTATCAGTGCCTAAGTTCGAAAGACTGTGTTCAGTGTAGCTAGACTTTTGTTATACAATAAGAATAAATATTGTTACGAGCTTGAGGTTCGTGACAATAAAAATTGCCGATAGAATTACCTAAATTAATACTTTAATTCACTTTACACTAATTAAAGTTAAAAACACTAATAATTAATCACACTGATTCACTTTATTCCGCTCTTCCGAAAGATTAGTGATGTCATTTTTTGGAAAGCTCCCCTCGCTCTCGTCCCCGACACTAGATGGCGCTAGTGCCGGGTACATGACGTCAACTTAGGCGCGCAACAATATGATAAACCATATTTTTTGCACTACACATATTACTACATACACATTAGTATATAAATGTAAATGTATGGTGTTAACATATAAAGCGAAATCGGCACATTAGCTATAGCATAAATTTAACAGTTCACGTTTTAGCGATGCGCGCCGCATTGTGTGCTAATAGCAATAATTTTCATATTATCATTTATTAGCATAGCAATTACTATCTTCACATATAAATAAGATTGAAGCATATGTCCATAATATTGAAATTACTACCATTTATTGAGCTGAGGTGGTTATTTGCATGATACTAAGAAATGAACAACCATTTTTAAATTTTCCAAATCTGTCCAAGTTATTCTTCGGATTGGCTGAAGGGATTGTTATGAAACTTGACAAACGATAAAGAGAGAAAATTCCAGAAGTGATCAAGGTTATATTTTATCCGAAACACTTGAACACATTTTTTTATAAAGAATAAAAGTGACAAACTAACACACAGACCACCTGATGGTAAGTGGATGCTGTGGCCGATAGACATCTGCATTTATCTTCAATTAAAAATCAAAATGCAGATGCGTAGCCAGCCATATGAACTCGGATGGAAAGCTTCATTTCCAGCAAAAAGGGTCTCAGGTTCTCTACACTCATCACACGAAATACAGCAGTAGTAAGCTGCTATTTTACGCTGGTATTCTGTGAAAGCATGGTCCTGGTCCCTGGACCCTGGTCGAGTCAACCCATTCATGCTGCAACCACAATATAGCTGCAGCCTGGCTCTACCACATACACATTAGTAAATCGAGTCGCTAATTGAAAACAAAGTCACAGCAATCTAATGTATTTATTATAATTTCAGGTGTACAAACCATACAGTAAAATTGAATGGTTCATACACCTAGGATGATGATAAATACAAAAAATATGCTATGGAGCTTTTATCAAAATAAGAGCTTTTGCCGAGCGTTGCAGTTTGTCTTAGGACTGACGAAAAATAAAAGTACCCTCCAAGATGGTAGGGCTCACTAGTATAGGAGCCCGTCTTGGTTAGTGATAGCATCATACCTCTTTCTGTCACCAAACAGTGGTGCATCCGCTGCTGTGTAATGGACGACACACACGGTCAGTTCAACTGATCAGTTTAAACTAAAACTGTTGATATTTTTTAAAATATCGGACTTTCGATATATCTATAAATAAACTTATATATAAAACTCTGATATTGATATATTTATAATTATATAAGTTTTAGTTTGAACTGATCAGTTGGAATGATCAGTTGAACTGACCGTGTATGGCGACCATAACAGTTTATAATATAAGAACCAGTATTATTACAGGCTATGGCATTTAAGTGGTTGAGCCACAATGCAGCTCTATTATGGTTGTAGCACAAATGGTTCGGTTTGACCGGGGTAGGACCACATTCACAGAGAATAACAGCGTGAAACAGCAGCTTAATGCTGTGTTTTATGTGGTGAGTGTAGAGAACTGGAGACTCTTTTTTACTGGAAATGAGGCATTCCATTTCAGTCCTCAGGGCTGGCAACACATCTGCATTTTGATTTTTAATTGAGGATACATATAGATGTCTGATGGGCCACAGCATCCACTTACCATCAGGTGGACTGTGTGCTCGTTTATCACCCTTATTCTATTTAAAAAACCTATGTTCTCTGGAGTGGCAATGCAATCTGTAGGCTTCTTTGTTAGAAGTTGGTGGCAGGTTTCCATGGAATTCAGTAGCTATTTACCATCAATTGGTCTGTTATTTCTTTTGTCTATCTAAGAGTATAAATTGAAGAATATAAAATTAAAATACAACAAAGTAAATAGTAACACCAGAGTCTATTGTCATATTTTTATTTTAAACATGTAACATTTGTAATACCTGAATTGTTTACGAGATCTATGAAACTCCATAGATCTAAACTGATAAAATATCTTTGGGTTTGCAGATAGACACTTGTGTTGAGACACTTTGCAAATATTTGGAGAACATTGTCACATACCCTGAAGAGGAGAAATATCAAAAAATTAGAATGTCTAACAGGTAAGTGTTTTTTACATATAACCCTAGTCCGCTACTGTACTGCCACTAATTGTGGGAGATTTTTCTGTGAGAGACAGAATTTCTTTATATAGAAATATACCAATGCTTCGTTACTATTCCACGTAATTTACTGTGTCGGTTGTTGCGCCGAGCCAAAAGCACCGACATTAGGGCACGAGCCGCCGGCGCTAAGATGACTTTCTACAATTGTTAATGCTAATGGAAAAATGGCAAGTGCCCTCTATTTGGTAATGTGGTGGACTTGAATTTTGAAATTAATAGAAAACCGTAAAAATAACTTTTTATGTTCTTTTTTTTTAATTCATATCAACTAAAAAGATATCAATAGAAGATAGTTTAGTTATAGTTTTCTTTTAGGGTTAACTACGAAGGTGACAATGAAAGTTCTTAGAAAATCAAAAACTGAACAAACTAGCAAGTTATTAGTTTTATTATATATTTTCAAAATATTTACATCAATACATCGCTGCATCCGATGGAATCACTAAGAAAAGCACTTTGCCCACTCGTCCTTATACGGCATTTTGATAGACAGATAAACTCTATTTGACGGCATTTTGAAACGCAGCTACTACTTCCTCGGCATCTATAAAATGTTTTCCTCGAAGTTTTTCTTTTATTTTCGGAAATAAATAAAATTAGCAAGGTGCGAGGTCGGGGCTTTTAGGCGGGTGGCCCAGTAATTCCACGTCTGACTGAAACAAGTAGTCGATTGTTTGCTTGGTGGTGTGCGACGAGGCGTTATCGTGGTGAAGGAGGATCCTACTGCGAGGTCGTTTCTCCCGAACTTTTTCAAGACAAGTGGCAAACAATTGTTAGTGTACCACTCTGCAGTCACTGTTTTTCGATCTTCTAAAACAATTGTTGCGTAATGAAAACAAACACCTCAGTCATCAAACCTGAGGTATTTTGACAAGACAAACAAGAGTCGATCTATTTTCTACATATTTATGACAAAATCACGAGTTTTTTTTATTTCATTTTATAAGCGCTTTGTTACCCTCTTTATTAGTTATCTATAAAGATAACAAAATCACGATCCATGGAACTAGTTCTTTTTTTACACATTTTATGCGTTTAATTGAATTATTTTATATTGTCGACGTTTCATGGGTACTGATAAGTACGAGTACTCGAAATGTCTGATATTATGTAAAGTTTCATGTTTTTCAAATTTCGTTTCAAATGTAAAAAGTTTCATTCAATGTGTAGTGTTAATGTAAAAATTAAGAAGTCGTTAAAATCACAATCCTTTATAACATGTTTTGACGGAACTTAAAAATTCTGCTTTCACCCACTTGGGACGTCTGAATAATCCGGAATTTTATAGACTTACTCAGAACCAATGGCAGTATAATAATTTCATAAACATAAACATAACATAAACATAAACACTGTCACCCAGAGGGGTAGGCAGAGACTACAGACTTCCATTTGGCACGATCCTGACACACCTCTCTCGCCTCCTTCACATCCATACACCTCCGCATACATGCTCGTCGGTTAAGGGTACTCCTAATTTCATGTCTATGGCCCTATATTCTCACTACGACCATAACGTCCCAGCAGTTTAAATTGCAAGGACAATGCAAAAATATGACAAGAAACGTGATATTTTTTTTAATCTATAAAAATGTCACTTGTTAAACTTTAACGATATTACATTTAATGCTTTGTTGTCGTTCATGCTTCTCCTATTTAGCCTTATATCAGCCCGTAAAAGTCCCTACTAGAGACGGGCTTATCCTATCTTAAGTCTGCTTTAATGATCATGTTTTGCTGGTGGATTATGGTTTATCTTGTACTTTTAACGTTGCTGTTGCTTACTGAAAAAGTATCTAGGTTCTGCATCGTTAATGTTTCATTTTTTTTTTGTTTGTTGTGTAATTTTAATATAGAAAAGGCTCATATTATGCAGTGGACTTTTATACGCTGTAATAAATTAATTAATTGAATTACACATTTGCAAACCACATTCCACTACAAAAGCAAGGAATATTATCTGTACAAATCAATCTGAACCCGGTATTGGTTGTTCAGACTTATTTATCAGACTTAGTTGCTTCTTTCAGAGCGTTTTCCGAACGGGTCCAACCCATAGAAGGTGCAATGGAATTACTACTGGCCGCTGGCTTCACTCAACAAACCCTACCAAATCCAGAGGGAGTTGAAGAGGAATATTTGGTGTTTAACAAAGAAAATGTGCCTTCTGTTGAAAGTCTAACGGTAAGGTAATAATAATATAATAGTGATACTCTTTTAGTAGAATTTCGACCAAGATGGCACTGATATACATAACCAGGCTGCCAGGCTAGGTGTCAAAGATCAGTTCTCTTATGTCAACACTGGCAACACGCACTGTTCGTACACTCTTGTTTCCAAGTTTTGGTGATTGTAACAAGACATATTATATAATTTTCTGAATGCTGACCAGCCATGTTGGATCCACCGATTAACCGCTTGGTTGATGTTGGACTTACCTAGTTAAACAATAAGATCTCGATAAACATACTTGTTAACAACTTCAAGGATAGTGTTCCCAACAACTACTATAAATACGGATTATATTCAATTATAAAAACAATTTCACTAATAGAACGAGCTACACTGCAGCTATATTATGGTTGTAGCATTATTGAGAAAATTATGTTTAGGGACCCATCTAGAAAAATTTGTAATGCTAACTCCCGTGCTTGGCCAAGAATAAAAACACGTTTTTTTTTGTAACTGTACTTGATTGTGATTAGCTATATTTAAAAACAAAATATAACATTATTAATCGCGATTTGAGTATAAACGCTACCGGAAAGCGTTCTATTATACGTCAAGGAACGTTACTGCTCTATATACTCCATTTTTACGTGGTAGAGCAAAGCTGTAGCTATATTAATAAATAAAATAATAGTAAAATAATGGTAAATAATAGTAGCTTAATGCTGCTGTGTTTCTTATGGTGAGTGTAGAGACCGGAGAGCCTTCTTACTGGAAACGAGGCATTCTATCTTAGTCCTCACGGGTGACAACGCATCTGCATTTTGATTCGTAATCGAGGATAGATGTAGATGTCTACTGGCCGCAGCAACCACTTACTGTCAGGTGGACTGTGTGCTCGTTTGTCATCCTATCCTATATGGTTGTATCACGAATTGGCTACCTCGACCGGGGAAAGACTAAAATCCAGCGTAAAATAGCAGCATAATGCTGCTGTTTCGTATGGTGAGTGTAGAGAACCGGAGATCCTTTTTACTGGCGAGGCATTCCATCTTAGTCCTTAGGGGTGACCTCGCATTTTCAGTCTTAATTAAGAATTGATGTAGATGTCTATAGGCCACGCCATTCACTAACTGGATGATGGATGTGGTCTGTGAGCTCATTTGTCACCCTTATACTATAGTTAGTGCCAAATCGATTGAGAAAAACGGACAATGACCTGAGATATGAGCCGAGTGTCAAAAGGCGTAACTTACAATATCTCAATTTAGATGTGATAACAATATTTAAATATTGATATTATTCACACTTCTAGGTCAGCACATATGTTTTTTTTTGTTTCTTAAATATTTTTTTTGTTTCTTAAATAATATTGTCTGTGGTTCCTATAAACATCGTAAAATTTTACGGTACATCGCGAAAAATGTGTTATATTTTATATTTAAATTTATGGTAAGTAACGCAGCAATTCATTTATTAACAGATTTATATTTAAAAAAAATTGAGGCAATATAATCACCATATTGAGCTTTTGCAAATTCGTCCCTTCAAATAAACAAAATGTGCGATACGTCAGTTCGTTCTAAAAGAAACGTGACAATGGCAGCCAGAGATGCGTCACTTTTTTGGGCCGGTCCGCATGCACCGAATAAAAATAAAAGTTCTTTTATAATATTGTAAGTAAAGTTTTATCTTTTAAAGAAGAACTTACTTATTCGGTGTCGTTATCACTCGAATCTTTATACGTGTTAAATGCTTTTTGTTGTTAAATGAATAAAGTACTTTATAAAAATAGATTTTTCTTCTACAGCGATCTTTTACATAACTTTTTAGTAATAGTTAATAAATATATAGTATATCAATCATTATAAATAAAGAAAGTATTACATATAAAAAGTGCCTATATATTGAAGGTTTGTAGCCCCTGGTTAAACGACCGAAAGGTCATTGTCCGTTTATCTCAATCGATTTGGCACGTACTATATAAAAAATCAATTATATTAACAAAATATATTTATAAAAATTTATTATACTATCAGCTTTTCTCTTAGTGAATTGCTTAGTGTCTACTTTCCACATTACACGCGAGCGACTCCACTACGGTCGGCTTTTAATTAAATTAATTATGAAACAATTAATCTTTTTTTAGACTTTAATCGAAGCCCTGCGCACCGCCGAGCCAATACAGTTAGAGCTAGATAGGAATCTGCAAGTGCTATTGCCTTCTCAAGCAGCGAATAAGATGGCGTTACCCGCGTCCTTCTATGCACTGACACCAGAGGAATTAAAGAGGGAACAACAGTTACGGTAATATACCTATGCATAATCCTATAAATAAATTATGACTTCAAATAATACTAGTTTTTACGGAATTAGCGCGTATATTTAACTTTTTAATTACCAACCAACCAACCAACCAAAATTATGACTTTTTAATTCCCAACGTTCCGGGTGCTGTATAGCATCCATGGTTATGGGGGTGGGTTGGGAGCCTGAGGTGTTTGACGTCCCGATGTCATAGTATAGCTGACGTGAAGTACCGACGCTCTGTGAAGTCTGCAGTCCGTGAACATGTTTAGGAGTAAAGTCACCGCCATTATGTTAGATTTGATAGACAATAAATCCTCACAATAGAACACCGATTCCTACCAAGAATGATTCGCAAAGCTATTGAAATTAAAAACACATCCTAATTTCAATAGAGAAGATGCATGGGTTCTGCCAGCTGCTTGGGATTCTGTAAGTAATAAAATTACATCCAAAATCAAGCATAACACTGCAAGATTTCAAGATAAATAAATAAATAAATAAAATCTTTATTCTCAGAAAAATATGTAACAACATTTTCCATATTAAGTACGATTACAGGCATCAATATACTAGTAACATACTAGTAGGATATGGTTGATCGTTCTTTCTTTATTCTTATATCTTTCTTTCTTTCTTCGATCGTACATTGAACAGCACATTTTCTGAACTAGAGGATAATTTTGGTATATCATTATCTTATGCCAGTAAATTATTTTTAAGAAATTTCCCAGTAATAAGTAGTTTTTTTAAGACCATTTATTGCAAACTTAGTAAAAAAAATTAATAAAAAAGAATCTTCATATAGCATTTAGACATAATTTATCATAATGTTTGCAGCTGTACTAGTTTTATATTAAAAACTGTATTACTGCCGCTAGCGCCTTCCACCGGACATTATAGGAAACACAATGATTTCTTATATTTACGCGAACACTACACATTGAAATAATACTAGTTTTTACGGAATTTATCGCGTATATTTAACTTTTTTAAATACCCGACGTTTCGAACGCTTTACAGCACTCATGGTCACGGTCATCATTATCTTATGCCAGTAAATTATTTCTAAGAAATTTCTCAGTAATAAGTAGTTTTTTTTTAAGACCATTTATTGCAAACTTAGTAAAAAAAATTAATAAAAAAAATCTTCATATAGCATTTAGACATAATTTATCATAATGTCAGGCTGCATCATTGATTGTCTAGAAATCGACATACAAAAACTATCAAATGCTCTTCAATCAGGTTCTAATATGGTCAGAGTACGAAAGAAGAACACTGTAAAGTATTTAATATCATGCACAGGGTAGAAAAAGTGAACAATAGTAGAAAACTATAACTTTCTAAATGGATTAGAATAGGAAACTTGTATCTAGGCTGACAGAGGCTTCAAGCACCTTGAATAGATACTTCATAAGAAGGACATGAAACCAATAAGGCCACCAGTGTAAACGCTGGTGCAAATTTATAGTTCGACAAATTAAAATAATCGCTAACTTGCGAATTCATATTGAGAGGGTAATTAGGCGTGTAAATGAATTCCATATGCTAAAGCAACATTCAGTGATAAATACTAAAATATGTTGTGTACTTGATCATGTCATTATTATTGCATGTAGTTTTATATATTTGAGTGTTCATAATGTAAAGTTATAAATAATAAAAGAAGAAATACAGTATGATTTTTAAACAGACATTTTTATTCAATATAGATTGTAAATAATAATTGTTGAATCACTTTTTTTTAATTTACCTCTGGTTCAGAAAAAAAAAGTGTCCTGGAAAGAACTAGCAAAAAATCTAGCGGGACTTTTAAAAGAAACAGCTTACAATCAACAATTAACACCATAAAACAAATTAGAAATAGCTTGGTAGCGACCACCCTTCCCAGGGGTTATTATTATCCATAAACTCCTTCATAATATTATTATAACCTTTTTTATACAAACATAGTTTAATTTTTTGAACTTTGTGCAGGTCAAATTTTGTATATTTTCTGGGATTTTGTTGTAAAAGCGTGTATACATCGCCCCAGGAATGAATTACTGACTCGGTGCAATCAAGTAACTGGTACTACTACTAGCTTGTGTCTGTTCCTAGTATTTACAGATGTCGGCTTCTATTTAAGACACTGGGAATCTTATTCGTACTTGTTTGTATATATTAGAAGTTGCCAAATTTGTAAAATAACACGGGAAGAGTTTTTATGAGCTTAATAAAGAAGTGGTATTCATCAACACGAGATACCCAGATCGGATAATAATTAGCGAAATATCAAAAAGTAAATGCTTTAGCAAAAATTGTTACTGGATGGGTGAAATAATATACAATAAAATACCAAGCACAATTAAAGATTTCCCTATACAAACAAATAAAAAGATCGAATATAGCATTAAAGCACATAAAACGCGAACAACAATCGGTCAAGGCAGCAATGTTTACTCGTATATGACGTCACCAGAGTTGCAACCAATTACATGGCGTTCCCGTCGTATATAAAATTTAAAAAATTATTGTTTCAATTTTGTTTATTTTGAATAAAATATACATATTTTAGTTTACAAAATAGTGAACTATATTTTTTAACGCTAATATCTCATAGGATGAACACAATTTTTAGTATATTTTCAATATTGTCAAATAGCCTATTTAAAAGTCAAAATTCTCCGTATCCGTAAAACTAGTTACATTTAATGTTTAGTGTTCATGTAAATATAAGAAATCATTGTTTATTACTATAGTAATTACCTTATTTCTAGATTTTTTAAATTTGGTTTGAATGTTGCTCATTATTATCGTTGCTATTTAATTCTACTACTTTTAAGAATATCAGTAGTTTGATTGTACCGTTGAATATAATAAGTACAAAATATAACTAAGATCAGAAAAAAAAACAAAATCTTTTTACACATTACTAACAATTTAACTACCTCGCTACGACATATTTCAAATAGCCACTATAGACAGTGCTACGAAGAAAAATACACTTGCTCAACTTTCTGCTATATCAACTCCCAATTTATCCTCTTTTGTCTTTAGCCAAGTTACTGTCAGTGATGTTAAGAAGAATATATTAGCCATTACTTCCGACGCAGTTGGTTCTGACAGCATTAGTCGTAAGATGATTATCCCAATACTCGATCTTTTAGCTCCTATACTTACACTTATTTTAAACCGTTCCCTTGACACCAGTGTTTTTCCTTCATCCTGGAAAGACGGCCTAGTAACTCCACTCCCTAAAAAAATCTAATCCGACATATGAGGATTACCGTCCTATATCCATCCTTTCCTTTCTCTCTAAAGTACTCGAGCGCCTAATATACCAACAGCTGAGCAAATTCCTGTCCAATCATAACCTTTTGAATTCATTCCAATCTGGATTCCGTCCCGGTCATAGTACGACTACGGCTTTGGTTAGAATCACTGATGATATTCGCCTGGGCATGGATAGTCAGCAGGTTACAGTATTGACATTGCTTGACTTTAGTAATGCCTTCAATACTGTAGACTTTGATGTTTTACTCGCTGTCCTAAGTTCTTTTAACATATCTCCTGAAGTAATTGGTTGGTTTCATAGTTACTTGCATGGGCGCCGGCAACGTGTACAAATTCAAGACACGTTTTCTGACTGGTCTGCTGTCAAAGCTGGCGTCCCACAAGGTGGCGTGTTGTCTCCTCTATTGTTCTCTATCTTCATCAATTCGATCTGTTCCCACATAACTTCTCTTTACCACCTATATGCAGACGATTTACAAATCTACTCTCAATGTAAGATTGCGGATCTCCCCAATACAATTAGATTAATTAATGAAGATCTTATTCGTATTTCTCTTTGGTGTAATTCATTTGGGCTTAAAGTTAATCCATTGAAGACTCAAGCCATTATTATTGGGAGTTCGAAATTAATCTCTCGGTTAACTTTGTCGCTGCTTCCGCCAATCATATTCGATGGGACACTTATCCCATACAGTGACAAAGTTAAGAATTTAGGTATTATGTTCGAACAGACTTTGTCTTGGGGACCGCAAGTTAGTGAAATAAGTAAAAAAATGTTTGCCGCAGTTGGTTCACTTCGAAGATTACGCAATGTTCTCCCCATTCCTACTAAAGTTGCGCTGGCTCAGTCTCTTCTTTTACCGATCCTTGACTACGCGGACACTTGTTATCTTGACCTAACATACGAGCAACTTAATAAACTTGAGCGGCTTCAAAATTATTGCATAAGGTTTATATTTGTGTTACGAAAGTATGACCACATATCCGAATTCCGCCATAAGCTCAAGTGGCTCCCGATTCGTCTTCGCAGGAATACTCACATTCTTCATCTTCTTTACTGCATTCTGTTCAACCCGACCACTCCTTCTTATTTGAAAGACCGATTTATATATTTAAGTAGTTTACACTCTTTACCTCTACGATCTCAAAATAACCTCCTTCTAAGTACCCCTAGTCATTCCTCTTCCTTCTATTCTAATTCTTTTACGGTTACCGCTATACGACTATGGAATTCTCTCCCCTTACATATTAAAAAATCTAAATCTCTTCCTATATTTAAAAATAAATTAAAACTTTATTACCTTTCCTCTTAAGTTACTACCTGTCGTCATTCATTTTTTTTTCTTTAATCATTTATGTTCTTCTATTTATCTTTCTTTATCATATTCTGTACACCCCTTCCGCTATCTTTTAAAATAGTATCCTCTGCCCTAAGGTTGCCTGGAAGAGATCGCTGTTTTAGCGATAAGGCCGCCTGTTGTACCAATGTCCCTTTAAATATATAAATAATATAATATGTTCCTTGGTGTACAATAAAGTATATTTTACTTTTTTTACTTTAGCCACTTCGGAATGAGGTGAACTCATTAGTGTTTTATAAAAGTAACTCGTTAAAATACTGGCAAGAATGAAAGTTAAAATATTCGTTATTGTAACATCTTGAACTGTTAAAAATAGCGGGCTTATTAGCAGTAATATAACTTTTGATTTCAATAAAAAAGTCCATAAATAAAAATTTCTAAATAAAAATAGCTGTGATTTTTATCATTTTTTTTTTTTGCTTATAATTTAATGTAATGTTTATTATAGATATACACATATACATATATAGCTTTGAATAATGTGATTTACAAATAATTCTACTGAATTTTAGAACCGAAGCCATAGAGAAGAGCCAAATGTTACGAACAAAAGCAATGCGCGAAAAGGATGAGATGCGAGAAATGCGAAAATATAAATTCGCCATCATCAGAATACGTTTCCCCGATGGTATACTCTTACAGGTGTGTATCCTTGATTTAATTAGATATCTTGTTTTTATAAATTGCTACCACATAGTTAAAACAGCGGGACCACTAATCTTGCTATTTGAATAGTATTAACTCTGTAACTATATTTGACGAGTGTCGTCGCGGTGTCTATACGAACTTATTTTATGATATAACAGTAGGGAAGAAGAATTAATAGTTCATAGCGGCGCTCATTTATCGCGCGTTTTTGTTATTTTGTGTCCCTAGTTAAAATAATAACAAACGAAAGGAAATATATTTCGGTTCGGGTTCGGGAACACTTACTTAATAAATTGACAGAATCATCATAGTAACAGTTCATTTATATATATATATATATATATATATATATAATATTTTTCTTATTGTTATTATGTATATTATATATTTTATATACAAATATGTGTATATTAATATATTTTTGTAAATTTATTTGATAACATGTATATTTGTATATCTTTATGAGTTTATATACATCTGACATTATAATATGTACTTATGTATTATACATTTTTATTATCTTAGTTATTTTATATTTCATTTTATTATAATTAATTTTATCTATATTGCGATGTACCATTTATATCTTATGTATTTTATTTCCATGTATTACAATTTTTTTTGTTATTTTATTTTAGTATTCGCATATTAACTTTTTATTATACCTACTTCATTCTATCTCTGCATCATCCCAAGGTAGACTTGGTGAGAATGCCTTAGGCATTAAGTCCGCCTATATACCACTTGTGTATATGTAGTTTTAAATAAATATTTTAGATAGGTTGGACTTATTAAATACAAATGTTATGCATGCATACTGGTTTTCACCAAAAAAATGTTTGTCGGGTTTGTAGGCCCAACGATACATACATATGAAAACATTTAATTAAAGTAAGCGCGCAAGTTAAATGCAGTTTAAGATGAGACTTAAGTTTAAGGAAGAAAATTCATACGCTTCGATTTACACGTCCACAGAGTAGTGTCCTCAAATTATGTAAGTTACTCTATTTTTTATATAAAATGGGGTGTCAAACGAGCACACAGTCCATCTGATCTCCTAGAAATCTACAATTATTCTTTGAATAAGAATCAAAAGTCCCAATGCTACACGGTAAGCCGGTCGTGGCGGGGGGCCGGTCTTAAGCCCCCACCATCTGAATGTGTCGTCTTCAGGTCGTCTTGTATGGGTAATCATAATGAAATGTAATATTAAAATAAAACAATTCTTTAAACCTAAAACGAGGGTACTTCTGAAAATGCAGGTGTGTTGTCACCCCTGAGGAATATGATGGAATGCCTCGTCTCCAGTAAATAGGGTCTCCGATTCTATACACTCACCATACGAAGTAGCAGCAAGCTGTTAGCTGGTATTCTGTGAGAGCGTAGTCCTACCCCGGTCGAGTCGACCCATTCATGCTACAACCATAATATAGCTGCAGCGTGGCTCTACCACGTAATAATGGAGTGTATAGAGTATATATACTTAAGTCGCGACTACTATTGTTATATTTTGTTTTTAAATATAACTAATCACAATCAAGTACAGTTACAAAAAAAAACATGTTTTTATGTATGATATAACGTGACAAATTTTTCTAGATGGGCCCCTAAACATAATTTTCTCAATAATACAATATACAACAATAATTTTGTTCGCAGGGTACTTTTTCAGTCTACGAGCGCTACAATGAAATCCACGAATTCGTACAAGAGAACTTAGAACACAGCGGCTTACCTTTTATCCTTAACACGCCAACAGGACATAAACTAATACCAGAAGAAGATGGTAATAAGACCCTTATTGATTTGCGATTAGTACCGGCAACCGTGCTTACTTTCGCTTGGCACCCATCTATAGCCGAGGAAATAAATAATAGCCCAAATAAGGATGTATATTTAAAACCTGAAGTTATGGTCTTAGTTCAAGAGATATAGATTAAAAATGATTTTCGGATATATTCAATACAATGTTACAACCGTTTGGATATGCAAATAAATCTAACCTTAAACAACTTTTTGAAAGTTTAATTGTTACTATTGTGATCATATTTTCCACCTTTAATAATGGCTTTTCAACATATTTCCATTTTATAATAAATATCAATATTTCTCACTTATTATTGAATTTGTAAAAAACTGTATTCCTTATACAGGTGTCCGGTTTCCGATGTCCGATACTTTAAGGGGTTAAAATACAATTAATTTTATCGACAAATCAGGGATCAATGATTTTTTTTCGCCATCAATAAAAAAATGGCAGCACTTTAAAAAAAATTGTTGGCGAAGCATAGATGCTTGTATTAATTTAACAATATCTAGCCAAGTAGAAGACTTTCAAAAACAAAATTGGTCTCAAATGTTAGTTAATAGTGTAGACAATAAATCTAGATTCAAAATATTATTTTTTAATTTTTCAGTATTAGTAAAAACATTTTTGAAAAAATAAATTAGACAACAAATTGATGTTGTTTTTCAGATTCTTAGCTTTAAAAAAAACATCGTGTTAACCAATTTTTTTTACTTGTTTTTATTATAATACAGGATATTTGCTATAAATGCACATATAAATCTTAACTCTGAGTTAGATAGTTTAGGAGCTATGACAGTGTAAACATACATACATGAAAAGCGCGGATACACTAGCAAATGAAATAAAACAAAATAATTTATATCAATTGCATTTAATTTGGCAAAATAATTACAAAAACTGCTCAAAGTGACCTCCTTGTCTCTGCAGACATGCTGTTGCTCTTAGTTCAACGTGTTGCGTAGAGCGCTGGATCATTGCCTTGTCTTCTCGCAATTCGTTTGCTGCTTGAATTATTTTTTCTGCTAACTCCTCTCGTGTATTTGGCACATTTACATACACTCTTCGTTTGAGTGTGCCCCACAAAAAAAAAATCGAGAGGTGTTAAATCCGGCGACCGCGGTGGCCAAGCAATTGTTCCTCCGCGTCCGATCCACAACGAATAGTGTGCATTTAAATGATTCCGCACAAGAAGCGCGAAGTGTGCCGGAGCACCATCCAATTGCAGAATCATTCTGGCCCTGTAGGCCAATGGTAACTCCAATAAAGCATCCAAAAAATTCGTTTCCAGGAAATTTAGGAATCTTGGGCTATTCATTGTTTCCGGTAAAATGATTGGTCCAACATTTATATTCATTAGAATGTCGTCAATCATTCCGGCCCAAACGTTGACAGAAAATTTATGTTGAAAAGAACTTGGGCGGATCGCATGTGGATTTTCTTGAAGCCACAGGTGTTCGTTACGGTAGTTCGTATACCCTGATCGCGTGAAGGTAGCTTCGTCTGTCCACATAATTCTTTTTAAAAAGTTTGGATCATATCGCGTTCCTCTCAATATACACGAACAAAATATTGCTCTTCTTACATAATCCGGTTCCAGTATTTCTTGCACCCTTCGAAAATGGTAAGGATGTAATCCTTCTCTTTTTAAAATTTTCCACACCGACCATTTTGATAGACTGAGACGATTAGCTATGCGTCTAATGCTCAGGCTAGGGTCTTGAGTAATCATTTGCAATATTTGATGTTCATCTTGGAGCGACAAAACACGAGTACGTTCGTTACCGAGCCTTCTTATTCCATTTTCCGCAAGTCTCAAATGAATTCTCACGAAAGTGCGAGCATTCGGCGTACGTCTGTTAGGAAATCTGCGTGCATACTCTACAACAGCTCTATTTGCACTCCCGTTACACAATCCATACACGAAATGGATGTCAGCGATATGCTGGCTTGAGTACTCGTTCATTGTAATATACAAAAAGTAACAGTTCAACAACAAAACAAAAACGTAACAAAGTCTAACAACAAACAATAATTATGTACAGTAAGTAGATTTACTTAAAATCAGGAATGTTATCACAACGCAGAGCGAGGGACGACTGCTCGACGGCACAAGCGCACACTGCACCCTTTTTACCTGGAGACAGCCGTTATTCTGTCTCGCTCGCACTATTGTGCACAGCGTTTTTTACCTGCTCACACGAAGGATGCTATTGTGCTTGCTTACGATTCCTTGAATTATTGAAGAATTTTATCTTACTCACTGGAATGGGTGTTTAGTTACCAGGCGGTCCCATAATGAACTGGCCTGATATAGTTCAACGCGACATGTCGCTACATGTTGTGTTGCATTAAATAGTACGTTTATCGTGCACTTAATATAAGAAACATGCATCGACATGAAATGCTTAGTCTTAGTTTAACAGGCATTTGAATAACGAGAGTTGCGTATTTTTTCAAAATGTCGAAAACTGAGTATCGAAGTGTCATAAAGTTTCTGTTTAAAGAAGGTTTATCCCCTGCCCAAATAAAAGAACGATTGGATGGCGTGTATAAGGAGTCTGCTCCCTCCTATAGCACAGTGAAAAATTGGGTGAAAGAGTTTCGCCTCGGGAGAGAAACCGTCGAAGACTTTGGCCACGACGGTCGACCTGTGGAAGTGCTCACTCCCGAAACGATTGCTCTTATCGAAGAGGAGGTTCTGAGTGACCACCGTTTGAAGATTAGAGAAATTGCAGCAAGGCTTGGGCTCTCTAAGAGTACCGTTCATCGCGCGATCCATGAATATCTTCACATGAAAAAAGTGAGTGCAAGATGGGTACCGAAACTTCTTTCAGCGGTACAGAGACAGGAAAGAGTGCGCTGCGCTTCGGAGTTTTTGGATCTTTGTGGCGAAAATCCAAAGACTGTGATCGAGCGGCTAGTGACTGGTGATGAAACTATGATCTTGTATTATGATCCACTAAGCAAGCACGAGTCAATGGAATGGCGTTATAAGGGTGAAAAGCCCCCTAGAAAGGCAAAGGTGCAACAATCGACTAAAAAACTGATGTGCACAATATTTTGGGATTTTCAAGGCATTTTGATGGTGGATTTTATAGAACGTAATACAGTCGTGAACGGCGAATATTATGCTCCTTTAATATATAAATTACGAGACAAGATACAGGAAAAACGAAGAGGCAAGCTGTCTAAAGGTGTCCTGTTGCTCCATGATAACGCCCCTGTTCATACCGCTGGTGTTTCAAGGATGCAGTTCGTCAATGCGGGTTCACAGAAGTTCAACATCCACCTTACAGTCCAGACATGGCCCCGTCCGACTATTATTTATTTCCAAATTTAAAGCGGGACTTAAGAGGAAGAAAATTTTCAAGCGATGAAAAGTTGCAGGCGGCCGTCTTCAGTCATTTTGAGGATAAAAAATGTGATTATTTTTATAAAGGTTTAGAGATGTTGATTCACAGATGTCAGAAGTGTGTTAGTATTCATGGTGATTATATTGAAAAATAAAATTGGTTTCGTTTCATTTCCTTCATTGGTTCATAGTTAGGCCAATTCATTATGGGACCGCCTACGTATCTAATATCGGGGTAGAGGCACTTTGAACAGTTACATTCAAATTATCATAGCTCCTAAACTATCTAACTCAGAGTTAAGATTTAAATGTGCATTTATAGCAAATATCCTGTATTATAATAAAAACAAGTAAAAAAATTGGTTAACACGATGGTTTTTTTTTAAAGCTAAGAATCTGAAAAACAACATCAATTTGTTGTCTAATTTATTTTTTCAAAAATGTTTTTTACTAATACTGAAAAATTAAAAAATAATATTTTGAATCTAGATTTATTGTCTACACTATTAACTAACATTTGAGACCAATTTTGTTTTTGAAAGTCTTCTACTTGGCTAGATATTGTTAAATTAATACAAGCATCTATGCTTCGCCAACATTTTTTTTAAAGTGCTGCCATTTTTTATTGATGGCGAAAAAAAATCATTGATCCCTGATTTGTCGATAAAATTAATTGTATTTTAACCCCTTAAAGTATCGGACATCGGAAACCGGACATCCTGTATATTTTACTTGTATTTACTTATTTTTTTTAAATATTAAAAAGTTTCTAAACAAGACATAGTCTTGGAGGACTTCTTTGTTTGAAGGTTTTTGACATATGAATTTAAAGAAATATTATATTACGTTGTATGTATATGTATATTATGAAAAAAGCATTGTGCATTTAAATTTAGATTTTATTTAATAAATGTCAGGATCATTATTAAAAGCGAATGTGATATCTGAAGTATTTCATTATTATTTTTTTACGTATTTTGTAAATTTATTCTATTAACAAACTGGTTATACAGCGTGTATTCTGGAAAAGAAAGCAGTGAAATTTTTGGAGGAAAGAAGTTACTATATTGTGTACACCCGTACGAAGTGAAACTTCTTTACGACAGATCATTTTACTTTTATTTTATATTTTATATAATTAGGTTAAATAATAGTATATTCATGCAGCCCCAGCGGTGAAGCTTACAAAAAAACTAATATTTTTTATTTTTAATGTCGTACTAAATATCTCCTAACCGTGGTAGCTCAGATGGTTAACACTCGCTGTAAATATAACAGAACGCGAGTAGCCCGAGTTCGATCCCCGCCGGCACCAATGAAATTAATTGCAATTTTAAGTGCTGATTTACCACGTTCTCGGCGGTGAATGAAATCATCGTGAGGAAACCTGCATGTCTAAGGAATAAGATAAAAAAATATTTCGAAGACATGTGATGAAGTTCGCCAACACGCATAGGGGCAGCGCTGCGGAAACTTCCTTGCCCTAAAACCCTCTCAGAAATGAGGGCACGCCTGTGCCCAGCAGTGGGACGTATATAGGCTAACTTTACTTAATATCTCCACTACCAATAAAGAAGTTTCACTTCAAAAATGTAATTAGTTTTACACTTAGTTACACACAGGTTAGCTTATATTTTTTTCCTACTGTCGACTAACATATTCTGTACACCAAAACTAACTAATCTTACAGAAATGATAAAATAAACAGCGACACGGGAAACATTAAACCATGCCTATCAATTTTAGTCAAAATTCCGCTGCTGAACGTAGTTCTACCCAACAGATTGCTTATTGTATTATTTGCCATATTTGCCACGCTTGGCAAGCCTGTTTGCAAACGCTGTTTTTTTTTTTGTTGTTTATTGCTGATGCAGATCTCCTGCTTTGTATCCCTCTGTCGCCTCAATACCCACGGCAAGATATGGGGTAGTGGATGCTCACACCGCAGCTACACGGACATTGTTTTTATTTCATGGATAGTAACTTACCTTATTGAATAAGCAGCTTTAGTAAATCTTTAAAAAAATTCAATTCTTCTAGCTATAGAGATATCTGTTAAAAATTTAATATAATGTACTAGTTGGTTAATTTAAAATTCCGATAATCGCAAAGGTTGTCTTTGTGTAAACCAATAAAGGGCTATGCTTTTGTAGTAAGTTATTTATTTATTTGTTATACATAAAGATATATTTGTATATGGTGTTCACTTAATTTAAAATTAAAATTTAAACAACGTTTTCCAATGTTTCATTTCTTTATTAACAATGGTTTTATTAATTCAACAAATTTTTACAAGGAAAAGTAAGAAAACTCCAGTACTCCGATGAAAATTTTTTTTTAATTTATTACTAGAGGTTCAAAATGTCAATAACAAACTAACCTTAAAATAAAGGGCAAATTTAAATTGCCTTTTCTAAATCGTTCCTCTCAATGCATATATTTAATTAGTGCTTAAAAGTAAAAAAAGTCTAAGATCCTAAACAAAAATGTACCCTTTCAAATTCGTGTTCATACAATATTTATCTTTTATACATAATACTCGTAACAAAGTAAAATGTTACTTATTAAGGCACAGTTAGGTCATAATATCGCATGTCGGTTGTTCAGGTACTTTATTCTCGATGGTGACTGACTTCGTGCAATCCTCCGTTTTGTAAATGCCGACAAGTCGATTGGATACTTCGAACATGTTGTAACGTAAGGAGATTATAATGAACTGTGCGTTCTTTGTTCTTTCCTGGAATAAAAAACACATAATAATTATGATTTTATGACCGGCGACTACTTCCTGTAACTGTCAACTGTGCAAGAGATAATCACAGTGCTACTGCAACAAGTCTATGGCAATTTGCATAAGTACATATTGATGATACTCCACCAAATCTAAGAAATACCTTTTAATGTTTCACATTAATCATTCCGCAATAACGTTGTACAAGCGTAGCTCACACAATTTTGAAGTAACCTTATACGTAAATTCAAAGAATTATGTTTTTAATCTAGTGCAGTAAAACTTTTATAACTATCTTTACAAATTAGTAGTAAACAATAAACTTTGAGTTACTCGATACCAATTTCTCTTAAGAATCGAATATTGTAGATACCGACTTTTCAGTTGGAATACCTAGTCCAATACATGTGACAGCTGTCAAAAGGTATTTCTTAGATTTGGTGGAGTATAAGCAGAAACTATAGATTAAGGGTGGGGTGACAAACGAGGATACAGTCAACCTGACAGTAAGTGGATGCTGTGGCCCATAGAAATCTACATTTAACCTCGATTAAGAATCAAAATGCAGATACATTGTCACACCTCTGAGTATTATAAGATGGAATGCCTCGATATCAGTAAAAAGGGTCTCTGGTTCTCTATACTTACCATACGAAACACAGCAGGCACTAAGCTGCTGGTCGAGCTGACCCATTCATGCTACAACCATAATATAGCTGCAGCGTGACTACCACATATAAAATTCTTGTGAACAGTTACTGTTCTATAGTAACAGATACTGTCCTCTGGATAGTAGGATTCCTCTTCGAAGTCCGCCTGGGCAGATACTATCCTCTTACCTATTTTTGCCTGCTGTGTTTCAGTCAATGAATTGAATGGTATAGAGGGTTGATTCATTGATTGATCAATTGAAGGGTGGGTATAGAGAGCCAGTGTAATTACAGGCCAGGGGACATTCCACTCCGGTCTAGTCCTTAGAGGTGACAACACATTGGTAGCCATTTTGTTTGAAGTTTATATCAGGTGTCCATATGATGTAGTGGCCAACTTACCTTACTTACTTATCAGGTGGACAGTAAAGATCAATTCAGTCACTTGTTTTTAAAAAAAAAAATATTTTGAACTTAAAGCTATTCGTAATATGGTTTATATTATTATTGATATATTGTTATTCATTAATATACATGAATTTCATTCGACTTTATGATATGTGGACTTTTGTAAATTACCGTAAATTCTTTTTTTTATCTACCCGTAAAACTCTTGGCCATTGGTTATACCGCATTTCGCTGGTCTATTCTGGCATTTGCCTAAGTGGTCTCTTACGACCACACGGGACGAAATGTGGTGATAGATTCTTGCAGTATGCAATATTAGATAAATGTAACCATTTATTGTACACTAAAACAAAGAATATGTTGGCATATTGCAACAAAATTAAAAAATAAAACAGGGCCTTACCTTAATATAGTTAGCAACAATGGACACGTTTTTGAAATCCAACGCTGCATCTATTTCGTCCATAACATAAAGCGGAGTGGGCTTATAGTAATGCAGCGCGAACACTAGCGCCAGCGAAGACAATGTCTTCTCGCCTCCGGATAAATTAGAAATGTTCTTCCATGACTTGTTTGGTGGACGGACACTGAAATGAATATTTTACATTTTACTATCGGTCCGCCCGGCTCCGCACGGGTGGTTTCTGAACGGTTCGGGCGGAAAACTAAAGCATCCAGGGACCCACTCAGACACACAAAAAGTTTCATTAGAATCAGTCGAGCCAGTTTCGAGTGTTAGCGAGACAAAGTTAAAGGGTTTCTGGAAGGGTTTTAGGGCAAGGAAGTGTCTACCGCGCTGCCCCAATGCATGTTGGCGAACTTCTCATGTCTTCAAAATATTTTTTTTTATTTCTTGAAAGACAAAGCACACATGCAAAGACATGCATGTTTCAGAGTACATGGTAAATTAACAATTTCATTGGTGTCGTCGGAGATCAAACCCGGGTTTACTCGTGTACTGTGAAATTTGCAGCAACAAATTAAATATTAGATATCGATTAATTTATAAATTAAAATGAACTAAATTGCAGTTGTCAATCTGCCTGTCAAACATGGAAATTATAACAAACATCTTCCCAGCAGTGGGGACATGTTTGCCATACTGAGGTATACTAAGTCGGGCAGCAGCGAAAGATGCCAACATACTTGCAGTAAACTTGTGAAGGGCTGCCGAGTGTCCTTGAATTGACAAGAGTAATGATGGGCGTCCAACTAGTTAATGTGATAATCTGATGAAACAATCATTGGGTTTGTGTAGCTTACAGATCATATTTTGTGGTATTAATTTGGGAGAACTATATTTAGCAATGGCTAGACCATGATTATAATGATGATTTTAAATATTAATGAATACAATCTAGTAAGATTGTATTCATTAATATTTAAAATCATCATCATTATTATTATTTTATTTAATTATTTACATTTAATTATTAACAGTAGTTAAGAGCGCATATTCAAATATGTCCAAGTCGAAATTTGCGCGATCGCTTTGGAACGGCGTAATAATGACGCACACTACAATGTTATCTCTGTGTGCGTGTCAGGGCGAGCGTGAGGCTATAATAGTTGCCTAACGACTACTACGAATCACTTTGATCGTTGATTATATACCTGTCTTTGATACTGTTGGAACTAAAATAATAAAAAAATAATTTCCATATAATGGCTTACTTATATAGTGTATAGAAATCGGAGGCTAATATGTGGAAATTGTTTTAGGTATTCTTTTAGTAAATTGAAGTCGGCTTTACATTTTCACCCTATTGAGTATATTATAATATGTATATGTTCTAATTGAAAAATATGTATTGTATAAAATGTATATCATTTGATAAACTTTTATTCTGTTTCATAATGTAAACATAATTCATCAAACTAACAATTTCATCAGTGTCGGCGGGGATTAGTGTTGCCAGGTCTAGCAAGTAAAATTTCGGGACGGAAGGTAAAAATAATCGGGGATTTGGTTTTCATATCCGGACAACTAGAATGACTACAAAATATAGGTTTTTGTAGCCTTTTGTGCTTTATTGAGAGCCGTGGTAGCTCAGATGGTCAACGCTAACTGTAAATATGCGAAGATGAAGAAGATGCTATAAAAATGCGAGTAATGCGAGAAATTGTGACTGTAACTTTACTTTTGTGCTTTATAATTATTATTCGAGTCTGATCTCATGAACGAATAACTTTTCATCCAAACATCGTAAAAACTGAATTTTTTTTCATTTTAGGCAAATTAAAACATTTTTGAACTACTTGTTTTTTTTGCACTCCCTGAATTTTTCAAATCACTCATTTTAATATAATTCTGTTTAAAATTTTTGTGGTTTTTTTTTCGACTGGTGAGACAATGTCGTAGTAAAAATATTTTAATGTGGTAGTAGCTAACAGATATAATCACTTTCGCTGTCAAAATTATGGATTAAAGTATAGAATAAGAAGGTTAGTGAAAATCGGGACATTTGGCGTCCCGATCAATGATGAATCGGGACGTGTCACTAGACCTTTGAAAATCGGGACGTCCCGCGCAAATCGGGACACCTGGCAACACTAGCGGCGATCGAGCCCGGATTGTTCGCGTTTACGGTGAGCACTACGCCATTGAGCTACTCAACTCGAGCACGGCTCATACGTTTTATATCTGGGGCACGGTAGTGCCCCCGTTATGTAGACCAAAACAGCGGCACGGCCGTATCATCATTGCGAGACTTGGTTATTTTACTAGTTATGTTTTTGATGGCATGTCTTTGTTTAATCATAACGTTATCTCCACACTAGGAATTTTTCCTAAGTACATACATCGTTGGGGCAGTTTAAATACATTAATTTCACAAGGACAAACATCCAGACCTGGAACAATTATTTGTAGGTAATACAAATTTTTGTTCCACGTGGGATTCGAACCTGCGGCGCTCAGCGCTATAAATCATTACCAAGTCACTCCGCCACGGAGCCAAAGGTGAAAGCCAATGATTTTGTAGTTTTACTTAATCCGAATTGCTTACGTTCAATTACTCATTTCTAAAAAAAAATATGTATGAAATCAAAATTTGCCACCATTACATCATTTAATATTTAAATATTACAATCATTAACATATTTCAAAATTACTTACTACCAAAAAATATCGCTTATAAAAGTGAATCGTTTAAAATGCTCGATGGTGCTATAGGTATCTAGTTATAGTATGGTGTAGTATAGCCCTATCGGTGTATCAACGCGATCGCGCGGTGTCGGTGAGAAAAAGTGATACGTCCTGTCGTTGAGATTACCCGGAGCGTACTGAATCGAACTGCGTCTGCGCATGATGTTTTATAGTATTTTTAAAATAATTATATAAAATAATTGACAAAATAAAACGAGCTAAAATTTTTTTTAGATATTTAACATTACATGTATTTTGATAAAATAATTAAAATAGATATATTTATAAGCAAATACATGGGAAAAAATGACATTGAAATAGACAGTTTTGGTGATTTTATAATATCATTTTATAATATTAAATCGAAATATTATCGTAATTTAGGTTTTGCTATACCCTAAAAGACTATATATTTCATTATAATAACGCTTAAAATAAAGTATTTTAGCTTATAATAATGTTTGTATTCAACCTGAAAGATAACTCTGATGCATATTTTCGTAAAACACAGTGAAGGGATTGTCTTCGCCCTAAAAAACCGTCATTAAAAACTATGATTTTGCACTGCTATGTACTAAATAAATACTTCATCTTTCTAAAGCCCTAATTTTCAGCAAATAATCTCCTCATGTCGTTACGATATCGCCTTTGGAAAAACCATAAAAGATGAAGTTTTCGACGCGAAACGCATATGCCCTCTTAATGCGATATTTTAATACGTTTGACGTGTGGCGCTCAATACAGTGAAAGGGGCTGGACAAATTTAAATAATAATATTTGATCATTTATTTCATTTGGTATATTATTATACATAGGGTAGGGAGCAACTTTTAAGTACCTTAAGGCACATGTGTTAGAGACTCCCGCTCTTCCATAGCCATACAAAATGTTCTAGAGACATGAGATTACATATTATACAAAAAAAAAATTTTATTAAAATCTTAGTCCCCCGTGACCATGGGTGCTGGAAAGCGCCCGAAACGTCGGGAATTGAAAATAAAAGTAATTAAAAGCGAAAATAAATGCGATAAAATCCGTAAAAGTAGTTTTAATCATGTGTAGTGTTCGCGTAAATATAAGAAATCATTATGCAAAAAAAAATTATTCAAAAACAAATGTGTGTATGTGTTTTTTTTTTCACCCTATGTGTCGAAACATAAGTTTTTCTGTGTCTTCATAAGACAGGGTTTTTAGCCAATTTATAATCAAAAACTTGCAGTACTTGGCATTTCTACAGTAAATATTAAGCTTTTTGTTGACAAAATTATACAGATAGATAGATAATGAACTGACGTCTAGGGAATGCAGTTTTAACACAAAATAAATTAAGTACAATGTCTTTTCTTCTTTTATTCAAAATATTTTGGTCTAAAATCAAACCTTTATGCTTTTTTTAATACTGTGTGTAAAATATATAATTTTCTTATACTTAGTACATCAGATTTTAAACTCAGGCTTTTAGTTGGAAATTTATAAGGCCAAAAGTACATTGTCTTTACTAAGGCACGTTAGCTCTTTCTAATAGCAACAATTTTGTTTTTGTTGCTCCACCCCATATCGAAAGGCAGTAAGTTATTAACGATTGACGACATACATTTTGTTTATGAGCGTATCTGAAATAATATGTCTAAGCGTTTTAAAAATCCAAGCTAATTTTCTAAATCTACATGTGTATTACATCGATATGTTCATGCCAAGTTAAACGTTCATCTATAATGATCCCCAAATACTTGGTTGATAAAAAGAAAATTTGGTAAAGCTAGCTTATCTATATTTGTACATGGTAGAGCCACGCTGAAGCTATATTATAGTAGTAGCACGAATGGGTCGGCTCGACCGGAGAAGAACCACGCTCTCACAGAGTACCAGTGTGAAATAACAGTTTAATGTTGTGGTGTTACGAATGGTGAGTATAAAGTCCTATTTACTGGATGAGGCAATCCATTTTAGTTCTCAGAACACAACGCATCGTCATAGATGTAGATTTCTATAAGCCACAGCATTCACTTACAATTAGGTGGACTGTGTCACTCTTATTTTTTTATAGGATAAGGTGACAGACGAGCACACAGTCCACCTGAAGGCTCAAATGGTTGCTGTGGCCCGTAGACATCCACATCTATCCTAAAATACAAATAAAAATTCCGGTGCGTTGTCCCGTGAGGACTAACATGGAATACCTCGTTTCCAGTAAACGGGGTCTCCAGTTCTCTACACTCACCATACGAAACACAGTAGCGTTAAGCTGCTATTTCAAGCTGGTATTCTGTGGGAGAGTGATCCTTCCCCGGTCGAGCCGACCCATGCTACAACTATACCAGTAATATAGTTGCAGCATCGCTTTACCACGTATAAAATTATTCTATATTCGTATGAATTTTAACAGCTCTGAGGAATTGTTCAGATTAATCCCAGCCGCCAAATTTCGTGAACGCACTACGCGGCAAACGTCCCGATACCATCCACACCATCTGGATGCTTGGCGGTCCACCACTGTACGTTTCACAAGGAGTTTTCTTCCGAGTACGAACTCTCTGTGGAATAGTTTACCACCGGCGATTTTTTCGGACCGATACAACCTGGGGACCTTCAAGAAAAGAGCTTACTCCTTTCTAAAGGGCCGGCAACGCACCTGCAATTCCCCTGGTGTTGCGGTTGATCATGGACCGCGGTAGTCACTTAACATCAGGTGAGCCGCAGGCTCGTTTACCCCCTCTTCTATAAAAAAAATTATTTTATATTCTATTAAAATAACGAAATGTTTATATACCTAAAAATAATTCCTTCTGTGAAAGGATCCAATGAATCGACTAGTTCCAATTCAGCATCTCCACCTAAAGTGATCATTTGATACATCTCCTTTAGTTTCGATGTTATTGTATTGAAGCCTGCAAAGTAAAACGAAAAAAGTAAGAGTTTACAAAAATAAATAATAAATCGCCATGTGGTGGGAGAGCCCATTGCTTCATTTCATACTGTGAGTGCTGTGAAAATCTACTATGACATGCTACGGATTTCTAATAGCCTCAGATAGATGACAGTATGAATATCTTGTACATGCAAAATGTAAAATACCCGGATCGGGTATTCCATTCCATTTGACTACAGCTCATAAAAGTTGACATAACAAAGGCTTCCCCCAAACATTGCTGCATATGGGGATTTTGGCAGAGTTGGCACGCTTGGCGTATGGGTTGGCAACCGCAGTCTTTTTTTTTTTTTTTTGAGTTGTCATCAGGAAAATTCTGCTGCACATCTCCTGTTTTTTCTCTCTGTCGCCTCTTACGACACCCAAGGGACGTTATGGTTATATATAAATGTCCAGATATGCGAGATGTAAAATACGCGAAACCGCAACAAAGAACAGCGTCAAAAAGAGCGGGACATGAACCCAACGTGTCCATTAATCTTCCTTACGTGTGAGAGGTTCATGTTAAACTGTGGATCATTATTACGACTTGAAGGCTAATGATAAATCTTTCTTGAATGAAAAAGTATATAATGAATGTATTGGGTATGTTCCGAAATACAACGCAGTGTACTGTCCAATGCAAATGACGTATCATTTGACACTTTATTGTACTAGCGTGCCGCCGCCATATTGTGTCGGATATCCGGCCATAATAAAACAATTTTTTATTGTGTGTTTGCCGAATGAAGCATGCCAGAATTTGTTTCTATTTATTCAAATACAAAAAATTATAGAATAATTGATGGTATATCCATTAGGGGGATATAATGATTTTTGGAGCACAAAATGACAAAATAATCGCCAACACTTTTCCAAATGGCGCAAAAGTATGACGTCGTATACTGTAAAATGTTTTGGCACGAATCACCAGTATAGCGTCGATTCATGACGTCATTTGCATTGGACAGTACACTGCGTTGTATTTCGGAACATACCCCTTATGTTGCATAAGTAACACTATAGTCTTTGGGTTATAGTGTTGCGCGCCTAAGTTGACGTGATGTACCCGGCACTAGCGCCATCTAGTGTCAGGGACCAGAGCGAGGAGAGCTTCCTAGAAAATGTCAATCTTGACTTTCGACCAACAGCGCCATCTAGTATCGAACATAGGAATTAAACTTTCTAGAAGCCCCACGCTCGAACTTTCTGCGCCTGGTCGGTGGTATTTATTAGAATATTCAATTCTGGATGTTTCGGTGAAAAATGTGTATTTAAAGGCGCTGCAAGACGCGATCGAGGCAGTATTGAATTTGGCGAGACAAGCGAAGCTTCGGAGCGAAATAAAGTGAATCAGTGTGATTAATTATTAGTGTCTTTTAAGTTTTAATTAGTGTTCGGTAATAAAAGTGTACATTTTGGTAATTCAATCGGCAGTTTTTATTGTCACGAACCTCAAGCTCGTAACAATAGCATGGTGCGCGTGACAGCTTACACTTTGGCGTGTCTAGAGATGGAACAACGTTAAATCGATTTTAAAAAGGCGATTATCCATACACAAAGCAAAGCAAACATTATCGATTAGCTATCGAGGCTGTTATATATTAACGCTCGCTGTAAATATAACAGAACGCGAGTAACACGGGTTCGATCCCCGCCGACACCAATGTAATTGTGAAATGTTATTGCAATTTTAAGTGCTGATTTACCATGTGCTCGGCGGTGGAGGGAAACATTGTGAGGAAACCTGTATGTCTGAGGAATAAAAAAAAAATTTCTTAAACATGCGAAGTTCGCCAACACGCATTGGGGCAGCGTGGCGGACACTCCCTTTCCCTAAAACCCTCTCAGAAACGAGGGGAGGCCTGTGCCAAGCAGTGGGACGTATATAGGCTGTAACTTTACTTTACTTTTTTTATCGATATGAAAATTAATACCGAAACATATATTTCTTTATAAACTACAATGCATTTAAAATTAGGTTAAAGTTTACTACAAATTATGACATAATAGTTACACAACAGCTGTTCCCGCGACCTCGCTCGCGTGGTGTTGAATTTAATTATTCCAGATGTATTTGCGTTAACAGGTACGTACGTACTAGCGCCTTTCTCTATATCTGTATTAGTGATGCCAGGCCCAATGGACTAAATATCGGAACGGAAGGTAAAAATTATCGAGAATTTGGTTTTCAAATCTAATGTAATAAAAATAAAAAATAGGTTTTTGTAGCCAAGTATTTTTGACACATTTATAATTATTCTTTTTGCCTAAGATGACCAACGAATAATTTATCTATCATCAATGTATTGAAAACACTGCATATTCGTCTATGTGTATTTTTTTTCTGCAAACCAGAATTTTTTGAAAGATTAGTTACAATTCCAATAAATATTTTCGTGATTTATATATATTCGATTTATTTCAAAATCGATTCTTGATAGTCTGTGGTTGTTCGTTATGGCATGGCATAGTTTAGCGTGCCACATCACTCTCGTAAGTGGGCGGTACCCATCCATGAAGTTCAACAATATCTGTATGACAGTTTATCTAAAAAAATACGAAACTTCATAGGCGTAAGCTGTCATTCGCACCATGCTACAACGCAAAGACTATAATATTATATTAAGACTATAATACTGTTAAAATTAATAATAATATTCCAGTTAATCGTTTCAGGTAACTGAAACTGCTTGTGTTGGATGTGGCTCGTGACAGAAGTCGAATTAGATACAGACAGAAGTCGGTAGATTTGAACCCACAATCAGCAATTTTAACCATTAGGCTAATGTGGATGTGAGAAGTCTTCGTTAATCGAGATCTGAATTCCTCTTAAAAATATATAATATAGATTTGTCTTATAATGTTATATTGTATTAATTTACAAAACAACGTGGTAGAGTCAAGCTGCAGCTATATTATCGAGGATAAACAGATGTCTATGGGCCACAGCATCCACTTACCATCAGGTGGACTGTACTCCTTTGCCACGCTTATTTTATATTAAAAATAATGGTTATGTTACAATTTTCAATAAGTACTATCCTGTAACAACTCCATGTGACAGAGACGACGCTCTACAATGACGATAATCTCTTCTTACTGATGCATGTAAACGTTTACAGCCGGTATTATACGAATGTAGTTAAATTTTACCACTTAAAAAGTCCGTAGTGCGTTTCTTCCTCAGTTGATCGTACAATGCCCGCATCTCATTTCTCTTAGTCGTAATCTCATCCAATTCCGCCGCCCTTTTCAAATATAATTCCTCCTTCGTCCTGTAGTCCTATAACAAAAAATGCCATGGTCATGACTAGATTTATTCTTTACTTAGATTACGTTAGATACACTAACACTATAGCTTCCATTGAAATACAAAGATTTCTTTCTATTTATTATTGGAAGAAATTAAAATTTTGTCTTCAAACGGCACATTATAAATACAATATGGGTTTAAAAGGTGGTATCAATTGGAGAAGGAAAAGTAAATATCAGATAGCCTCTTTTGAATCTGATCAGATCTGACCAGTCACAAAGTCACACCATGGAAAGGTCGAGAAATAAGTAAAAAATAACTTTTAACGATAAGTAAAAGCTAACTTTAAATAACTGCGTTTGGTGCTACTACGTGGTAGAGCCACGCTGCAGCTATATTATGGTTTTAGCACGAATGGGTCGGCTCGACCGGAGAAGAATCAGTGTAAAATAGCAGCTTAATGCTGCTGTTTTGTATGGTGTGTGTAGAGATCCGGAGACCCTTTTTACTGGAAACGAGGCATTTCATCTTAATCCTCGCGGGTGACAACGCATCTGCGTTTTGATTCTTAGTCGAGGATCAATGTAGATGTATATGGGCCACAGCATCCACTTACCATCAGGTAGACTGTGTGCTCGTTTGTCACCCTTATTCTAAAAAAAAAAAACTAAAAACAATAATCAAAATTCACAATCTGAAGTTGGACTTTAAGTCTACTTTATAATATTTGTAAGCACGGACTTCAGAATGTGAAATTATTTTATTCTTTTCGGCCTACATATTTCCTATTCTCTGAGAACATTCACATTATCATCATTACAGCCCGTCAAAAGTCCAGCGCTAAACATAGGCCTCCTAGATTGCCAGATTTTATTGTTTTTATTAAGCTATTGCATAGCTTCTATCGCGGGCCTTGAGCGCGGGGACCGAATCCAGAAATTCCGTAACGAAAAAAACCTCACGCTCCCCACTCCGACGGGCACGGAGGTGTGGCGTTGAAAGCCGTGCATCGTCTAACGTCGTTTCAGTTCGGCAGACTTCGGCACTCGACAGCTTCGGCACGGTGTTTGTGTGCGTGCGACTAGACGTATGCGTGTACACTAGCTGCTAACTGAATGATAAAAATTCCTGAATAACCTACATGTATTGTAAGATATTAAAAATATTTTAAACAATATTAACTTCTCATTTATTCAATAAGAGAAAAAATATTGTTTTCTTATCGGTCACCACGCTCAAAAAGTGTAACTTGATTTAATATCAAAGACTTAACTGCATAAATAAAATAAATAAATAATTATAATTGCATAAGTTGATAAAAAATGCTATGCAATAGCTTTACCGCGGCAGTCACCGAGTGCCACACGTATTTTTTTTGTTTTGAGTTATCATCAGGAAAACACTGCTTCCCCGCTTCGTTTTATTCCCCTCTGTTGCCTCTTAGGAATGACTGATAGAAGACAAATTAATTAAATTTTTTGAACAAAAAGAATGGAAACCCTATATTAGTCTTGTATCTCCAGTAGTCATAAAGTGCCTAACTTTGTTGATACAAAATTATAGTAATTTTGGTACATTACATCATAATGAATGAGGAAAGAGTGACAAAGCAAATTTATATGGCAGATGTGAACGGCCGAGTCGGGAAGCGATGCCCTAGAAAAAAGTTTATCGACCAAATTGGCGATATTTTGAAAAGGGGCCACGTTAGAAGTACCCTTAACCGACGAGCATGTATGCGTAGATATATGGATGTAAAGGAGGCGAAAGACGTATGTCAGGATCGTGCCAAATGGAAGTGTCATGTTATGTTATTACATCATATGTTATTTTTCTGCCTTAGTACTCATATAGAAAATACATATAGCATACCATGCAATGGGCTACAAAAGGGCTATCATTTTGATGTTAATGAAATTACCAAATATGCCTGCCCGCAAGCGTGGTGATTATTGAAAATCCTCTCATACAAATTTATTCCATTTTTTTATAGCATTGGGTGACATACAGGCACACAGTCGATCTAATGGTAAGTGAATGCTGTGGCCCATAGACATCCACATTTATTCTCAGTTAGGAATCAAAATGCAAATACGTTGTTAACCCGTGAGGGCTAAGATGGAATGCCTCATTTCCAGTAAAAAGGGTCTCCAGTTCTCTACATTCATCGTACGAAACATAGCAACATTACGCTGGTATTCTGTGAGAGCGTGGTCCGGTCGAGCCGACCCATTCGTGCTACAACAACAATATAGCTAATCTATTCATCCGTCCTTTCTAAAAGGCCGGCAACGCAACTGCAATTCCCCTGGTGTTGCAGTTGTTCATGGGCGGCGGTAGTCACTTAACATCAGGTGAACCGTACGCTCGTTTGCCCCCTCTTCTATAAAAAAAAATCCATTGCAGCCTATAAAAGTTCACTGCTGAACATAGCCCATAGATAACCTCACTGGAAGGATTATGCCATATTTGCCACGCCTGCCAGGCGGATAGCCAACCGCAGATTTTTATCAGTGTTTTTTGTTATCAGGACATTATTCACAATTGATGGTTACATTAATGAATTTGGCATTTAAAGAAACGGGAATGAAAGTGATCGCAAGTAAGACGAAAGTGATGGTTTTGAAAGAGAAGAAACTAAAACGTTATGTGAAATAAGAATAGAAGGGGAGTTGATTGAGCAAGTGGGATGGTAGATATGATAAGGATATAGAACGACGAGTGAATGCAGGAAATAGAGTGAATGGGGCTCTACACTCTATTATGAAGAGTCAGACAATGTGTCAATAAAGGCATGTATGGCAATTCACTTCAACAGCAATCAAAAAATCCTATTTCAGTTTCCCTCTACCTCTTACGATACCCACGTGATGATATGGGGTATTGGATATTCGTACACCGGCACTATACTGCAAAAACTTTACACAGTATTAGTGAAATTCATACTATCCCTACTTACTTGTATAGCCTGGATATTTGGTTTAGCATCGCCAAGTCTCGCCTTTTGCGCGGCCAATCGATTCCTTAACTCTTCTACCGCACACTCATCCAATTCCTCAGCGGTGTGCCGTTCCAACGGGGCGGGTCTTTCTATACCCGGAACACCATCCAAACCTGGGTCCTCCAATTTCAGAGTTGTCAACTGAAAATAATACAAAACATTTTGAATGTCAAAAAAAATTTCCTGTCCAATCCAAAATTCAAAGGGATAGATATGTTTTTACGTCTAACACAGATACATGCTTAATTATCATGTTTCCTGTTTTTTAAAAACTATCTAAATCTAACTGGATCGTTGATCGAGGGCAATTATCGATAGTGAAATGGATTAGTCGACGTCGATCGTGCTGCTTGAATATTCGACTATACGCCCCGCTCCAACGACCACGTTTTGAAAGATACCGATGAGCCCCCAAACACATAGCTTAATTATCCGACAATTGAACCACGTTTTATCGACCAGTATCTGTCAATCAGCTAAAACTACCACAACAATTGGTCAACCAATGACATCGATCACAGATCGATCTATGGTGTGATAACACCCTTAAATATACATCATTGTAGTTGGATAGAAAGACAGACGGCTGCCAATTTTTTATAGGATAGAATGACAAAGGAGCACACAGCCCACCTGACGGTAAGTGGTTGCTGTGGCCCATAGACATCTACATCCATCCTCGATTACGAATCAAAATGCAGATGCGTTGTCATCCGTGAGGACTTAGGTGGAATGCCTTGTTTCCAGTAAAAAGGGTCTCCGGTTCTCTACACTCACCATACGAAACACAGCAGCATTAAGCTACTATTTGACGCTGGTATTCTGTGAGAGCGTGGTCCTTCCCCGGTCGAGCCGACCCATTCGTGCTACAACTATACTACTAATATAACTACGGCATGGCTCTACCACTTAAAAAATAATTCTACTCCATTGTTGTATGCATGGTGTTAGTGTAAACACCTTTATCCTTGAAACCTTGGTTATAAGTGAACGTAAATTCAATGAAAAATAACAACATTTTTTTTTTAGTAAAATCTCAATTTTTCCTTAATTCCTCAATTTTTGCATGTCCTAAGCCAGGATGAAAGTATGAAGGAAAAGTTACATCACAGGTTATGTGTACCTATTGTGTTTTTATTGGAATGTTGTGTAGGTAGCTAGTGCGGGCGGTGATCTTTACAGTGATTACATCCTCGGGCGCATAGGGTATCCATGAATTTACGGACTGTGTCGGACAGAAATTTTTTAAATTTTATGAAAGAAAATAGCGTTTTTTTTTAAATTCATTGAATTTACGTTCTATAAGTGAAAACAAACCACTGGTTTCAAGGATAACGGTGTTTACACTAACATCCTGTATAATCAGTGCTTAATTAAAAAACTAAATGCCGATTCGTTTTAACCACCCTAAGGACTAAGATGGATCGCCACGCCCTCATTACTAGCAACATGAGCCCTAATCACTTATGGCCTGTATTAATTTTGATTAGTGCGAGTGCAGGTGATTAGTAATTGCGGGTGATTAGTGCAGGTGTGTAGTGTAAGTAGTGTCCAATTCTGTTAAGTATCTGTGTTTAGTGAATTCAGTTGTTAGCCATTGACCAGCCAGTACTCTGTTTAACTTTCATAACCGCTTGTGAATATATGAATCTCAAGTTTCTTATTTTAGTGTAAACTTCTTTACATCTGAACACCGACATGTTCATAGCTTCACTTATATGTAGAAATGCCACATCTCGGTCTCCTTTTAATTTGAAGTTAGAGTATTTACTATTGCAAAGACATTGACTTTTATATATACTCCTGCACAAATTTATAGGTTATGTCTTCGTTCCACTTTGCCATTTTTGCAACACAAACAAGCGTCCGACGCTAAACACTAAACACTGTTGTCCAGACGTGTTTAGTGAAGGAAATACTGCGAGTGAGGGGGAAGGGAGGACGTGCGGGATGTGGATACTCGAAGTACACTCGCAATAGAATAGAACACGCTTCTAATCACTATACTACGCGGGTTATTAATCACTTGCACTAATCATTCGCTGTCTACACGTGTTTACTCCTAATCACTAAGCACCTACACTAATCACCTGCACAAATCACTAATCAAAGTTAAGACATGCCTTTACTATATGAAACACAACACTATTATTTCGCTATTTTATGCAAGTGTGTTTGTAGCAATTAAATTTTATAGGATAAGGATAACAAAAGAGCACACAGTCCAACTGATGGTAAGTGGTTGCTGTGGCTTATAGACATCATCCTCGATTACGAATCAAAATGTAGATGCATTGTCACCCGTGAGGACTAAGATGGAATGTCCCATTTCCAGTTAAAAAGGTCTCCGGTTCTCTATACTCACCATACGAAACACAGCAGCATTAAGCTACTATTTGACGCTGGTATTCTGTGAGAGCGTGGTCCTTCGGTCAAGCCGACCATTCATGCTACAACTATACCAGTAATCCAAAATGGCTCTACCATGTAAAAAATTATAAGTATTATTTCTTTGTATTTATTACTTAATAACCATTTGGAAACTAAAACCTTGAAAATTAAACACAGACACAACTAAACACTATATTATTAATGTGTATAGATATCAAGAATAATATGGAATATCCCTGACAGGGATGTTACATTTATATTGTACTAGTGATACACCCCGGCCACGGGTGATTTCTGGACCTCGACAACAGCGCCACCTACCAAGTCCAATTATGAACCAAACAGACAATTCAGGGATCCACTCACAAAAAAAATCATCAATATCAGTTCAGCCGTTCTCGAGTGATGATCATTCATACATGCAATTCTTATTCATGTAGCGGATATTCTTTAGTCGTTTTTTAAATATTATGTTGCCTTGCATTTACATTTACCTCTTTTTCCCACAAAGGCGTTTTACTCGTACATTCCTGGATAGCCTTCTCCATTTTGTTCACAGCATTATTGGCTTCGAGTCGTTCACTCTGAGCCTTATTCTCCTTGGTTTGTAATTTAGCTATTTCTTGCTTAAGCCCCGAGAACTCTTCGGAGCCTTCGTTAATTTGTTCTTCTATCTGAAAATTTTAACAAATGTATTCTTAAAATATTTCTTAAAATATTAATCTATCAATTGTTATATATTTGTACCTAGCTATGTTTGCAACTTGATGTGTGATACATGATTTTTTTTTATAGAAGAGGGGGCAAACGAGCATGCGGCTCACCTGATTTTAAGTGGCTACCGCCGCCCATGATCAACAGCAACACTAGAGGAATTGCAGGTGCGTTGCCGGCCCTTTAGAAAGGAGTAAGCTTTTTTATATAGAAGAGGGGGCAAACGAGCATGCGGCTCACCTGATTTTAAGTGGCTACCGCCGCCCATGATCAACCGCAAAACTAGAGGAATTGCAGGTGCGTTGCCGGCCCTTTAGAAAGGAGTAAGCTTTTTTTATATAGAAGAGGGGGCAAACGAGCATGCGGCTCACCTGATTTTAAGTGACTACCGCCGCCCATGATCAACTGCAACACCAGGGGAATTGCAGGTGCGTTGCCGGCCCTTTAGAAAGGAGTAAGCTTTTTTTATAGAAAAGGGGGCAAACGAGCATGCGGCTCACCTGATTTTAAGTGACTACCGCCGCCCATGATCAACCGCAACACCAGGGGAATTGCAGGTGCGTTGCCAGCCCTTTAGAAAGGAGTAAGCTTTTTTTATAGAAGAGGGGGCAAACGAGCATGCGGCTCACCTGATTTTAAGTGACTACCGCCGCCCATGATCAACCGCAACACCAGGGGAATTGCAGGTGCGTTGCCGGCCCTTTAGAAAGGAGTAAGCTTTTTTTATAGAAGAGGGGGCAAACGAGCATGCGGCTCACCTGATTTTAAGTGACTACCGCCGCCCATGATCAACCGCAACACCAGGGGAATTGCAGGTGCGTTGCCGGCCCTTTAGAAAGGAGTAAGCTTTTTTATATAGAAGAGGGGGCAAACGAGCATGCGGCTCATCTGATGTTAAGTGACTACCGCCGCCCATGATCAACCGCAACACCAGGGGAATTGCAGGTGCGTTGCCGGCCCTTTAGAAAGGAGTAAGCTTTTTTTTATAGAAGAGGGGGCAAACGAGCATGCGGCTCATCTGATGTAAAGTGACTACCGCCGCCTATGATCAACCGCAACACCAGGGGAATTGCAGGTGCGTTGCCAGCTCTTTAGAAAACAGTAAGCTCTTTTCTTGAAGGTCCCCAGGTCGTATCGGTCCGGAAAAATCGCCGGTGGTAAACTATTCCACAGGGAGGTCGTACGCAGAAGAAAACTCCTTGTGAAACGTACAGTGGTGGACCGCCAACATCCAGATGGTGCGGATGGTATCGGGACATTTGCCGCGTGGTGCGTTCACGAAATTTGGCGGTTGGGATTAATCCGATCAATTCCTCAGAGCACTCTCCGTGATAGATGCGATAAAATACGCAACGATATGCAACATCTCTTCGCAGCGCCAGTGTGAATCGAGCCGATCGGAAAGAACTCGGCCGTCGACGATTCGAGCCGCTCTGCGCTAGATGCGATCAAGTGGAAGGAGCTGGTACTGGGGAGCCCCAGCCCAAAGTTGGGAACAGTATTCCATGTGCGGCCGAACCTGCGCTTTGTAAATATGTGTGATACATGATTTGCATATTAATAATGCATGAAATAAAGCATATCTGAGAACATTAAAACACTATATACCAGAAAAGACACTACAATCAAAGTCTGTGCGGCTGTGCATGGCGCGTGAATGTAGTCACATAATTAACGCGCCAGGCGTCCCGATAAAGCCGGACACAGTCTAGCTTTTGGCTGCATGTCCGGCCAAATCAGACAGTATCCGGCTTGTCTAGCTTTTGTAAGGCAAATTTAATAATTTGACCATATTTTACATTTTGCATGTAATTTACACACATACTATAGCAATTATTGTAATGAATATTGAATGATTAATAATAAAGAAGACTGATTTATTCAATTTTGTTGTTATTTCAATAGAATTTAAGATGTTATGGTAAATGATATACAGCATTGTTTTACTTTAAAAAAAATTGTCATGTTATACTAAGACTGAAAATTAAGGGTGTCCTTTTTCTCAAAATGTTCGGCTAAGCTGGCTGGTCTGTCCGGCTTTTCGGTTCTAAGACCTAGCAACCCTACACATAATAGTATATAGTACCGTATTATAGCATACATTGTGTAAATTTGAGGTCGCGGGCTCTAACGCGAGTTGCAAACAACCAAGTCCTATCTATTCAACTACGTAGTACATATTGTTTCAATATATGGAAACTACTTCAAATTTTTAAGTGAAACGTTCGCAAAATAAATTAAACACATGGTCGTTAAATACAACCAAGTAATTTAAATCGATAAATTTAACTGTTTTCGAATTTCGTTTATTATGATAGATTCTTGTTAAAAATCAAAAATAGAAATAGGAAAAGTATTTGGAAGCTGTTAGTCGGAAAACTACGCACATATACAGAATGTCCGGTAATTAATGGGTAACCGTGAAACAACATATTTATTACCATTCTAAAAAATAGAAAAATAAATATATCCCAAATAGTAGTATGTAACTAATATACGACTTTTTAGAAAAAACTGCTAACCTTTTTTACATAATTTTATATTTGCTACCTGCGCATACGCCGTGCTCTCCGTCTTTTGCTCTTGTTATACAAAGAGGCTCTGAGTTGGCTAAGTGTAAGCGAGAGGAAGTATATTTAAAAACAACACAAATATAAGATAACACACCCTTTCTCATTCTCATAATAGATATTATTAAACATGAATTAAAAAATTTAGCATTTTGGTGTTTTATTTAAAAAAAAAATAATTTCATAAGTAGTAACCATTCATCAAATAATCATAATAATTCGATTTTTTAGTAAACACCAAAAGTTAGATACAATAAGGTTTAAAAAGGTTCCATTAGAAAAAAAATTTGTTATTTAGTAAAATTCACTCCTTTTGCACATTCATTCGCTACTTATACTAGATACAATAGTGAATTATACAAAAAACAAATACGTTTTTATTCAATATAGATTACTCTTTTGTTTAATTAAAACCCAGCGTGACTTTTTTTTTAAATAATAGCTTACAATATATTTGTCAAACAATAAATCCATACAACATAAATTGAAAACAGCTTGGTGTAGCGATCACCTCATTTCCAGGGGTTATGTTAGTAATAGTTTAATGAAGTCTTTGAACTTTGTGCTGGTCAAATTTTGTATATTATCTGGGATTTCGTTGTGAAAGCGAATACATCGCCAAGAATAAATTACTGACTCGGTGGCGTGGACTAACTGGTACTACAATTTGAATCTGTTCCTAGTATTTACAGAATGAATATCACTTATTTTTGTAAAACTGCTGTTATTTTTGTGTACGTACATTACATTTTTATAAATGTATTGAGAGGCCAAAGTTAATATAATAATTTCCTTACATTTTTCGTCTGAGCGACTCTTAACGTTTTAAATCATAAATTGCTCTTATGGCACTCTTGACAGCCGCGTGTCCCCACAGCAAAATACCATACGATATTATGCTATGAAAAATAGCTAAAGTAAACTAATCTATCTGTTTTATCATTGGTAAGACTTCTAATCTTTCATACTTTTTATAAAGCATATGTTGGCAGAACTAAGTCTGCTTGCTAGTTTTGATATATGGGGGCACCATTGAAGCTTCGCGTCTAGTGTGATTCCAATAAAAATGGTGGTATCGACAAGACTCAGCTCCTCCCCATTTAAAATTACATTAGTATTAACATGTTTGACATTTGAAGTTATTAATTGCATACATTTTTAGTTTTAGTGCCATTTAAATGCAAATTATTAACATTAAACTATTTTACTAAAACTGTGTCATAAGCAAATAACACTATATGATGGTTATCCCCCCTGCTGTGTAAGGTAGGTCATTGATATATATAAGAAACAGAAAGGGGCCTAGAATTGAGTCCTGAGGCACGCCTATTTGTACTATAGTCCCGGAAGAGTGCATACTATAAATGAAACTTTTTACGTCCTGTTACTTAAATATGAAATGTTTAAGTTTCCTAATCAATGTTTCATGGTGAACACAACCGAAGACGTTGGATAGGTCACAGACTATACACCCAAAGCATTCTCCAATGCATTAAAGATTTATTTAATCAGCTCAACACCAGCATCAGTAGTCAAGCGACCCCTTGTGAAACCAAATTGATATTTATAAAGTAAATTATTTACATTAAATTTTTTTTTACATTTGATTAAGAATAGTTTTTTTCTTCAAAAACTTTACTAAGTGTTGGCAGTAAAGAAATAGGTCTAAAATTAGCGGGGTCCAATGTACAACCAGATTTAAATAAAGGTATTACTTTACTATGCTTCATTACATCAGGAAATACACCAGATTCGATACTAGTATTAAAAATAATAGCAAGTTGAGGTGCGATTGTATCTAATAGAGTCGCAATAATTTTAACACAAATCCACCACAGTTTTCTGAATATTAATCATTTTAAAATATAGATAGATAGATAGATAATTCTTTATTGTACACCAAATCAATACATAAACGAAAGAAGAAGAAAAAAAATAGTGTCACAATGGGCGGTCTTATCGCTAAAAGCGATTTCTTCCAGACAACCTTTGGATGGACAGGATCGCAAAAAATAGTAAATTGTGTGGTTTGGTGATGCAGAAACAATATTTATAAATATATCCATATTTTATATAATATAATTAGAAATAAACAGCAAATAAATACAAAAAAAATACGAATGTATACTACATATATAAATGGCACGAACTCAAAGATTAAGATAGTGACTGTGTACAAGTTTCTGAAAAACAGGTAAAGACTGGGCGCGTCTCACTGACAGAGGTAGGGCATTCCATAGACGGACTGCTTGGATACTAAACGACCTGTCCATAAATTTGCTATTATGGGCAGGCATTTTTAATGTAAAATTCTCTGATGATCTCAAAACTTTCGAATGGGAATAGTGAAGGAATTCAAAACGATCCTTAAGATAAGAAGGATAGGAAGG